GGAGGAGGAACGACGCAGAGGGAAAGACGCGCTCCCTTACTAATGATGCTCTGACCCGGCGCATCTACAATGGGGAAGCTATTCCACGAGAATGGATTATATATTCACCATCAACGGGAGATATTTTTTGCTTTCCTTGTAAAGTGTTTTCACAAAGCAACAGTGAATTTATTGCGGGGTTTGAGGACTTGATTTGCAACTTTGCAAAGAAAAAGACCAGAAAGAAGAACTTCTAAAGGTAAGAACCATTGTGCTTTATGTGAAGTGAGTAGGCCACTATAAACTCTTATGATTGTGCAGATAATACATGTATTTTGCTTATTCTATTATGCTGTTTGCACAACATGTATCTTGCTTAATTCATTGTGGTGTGATGCAGAGAGTTATAGTGCTGCATATTTGTTGTTTTGCAGCGTTAAGTTATCCAGCTGACTTGGTGACAGAATACAACCTGCACTCAGTGTTATGTGATGGCATTGTTATATCTTCAGTCAGTAACATTTGAGAAGTACTGGTGGAGGTTCTGCTTGGGTGCTTTTCTGTGAACACTTTATTGTCATAATCCTTAGCCATGCACTGGGCTGTGATGATTTTTTTTATTTCATTGTTGTTGTGTAATTTGTTAGAGAGATGACAGTGCTTTATTTCTCATTCTGGAAAGGCGAGTATATATAATATATATATATATATATATATATATATAATTTAGGTTAGAGACGGGGCCTGGTGAGTCTCAGTGCCCAGGGCCCCTGGTGTTGCTAATCCGGCCTTGCTAATAACAATAATGACAATAAAACAGCAGCAGCAGATACATGACTTCTCTTCATGACAGAGACAGACCCTCTGCTGCTGCTCGTCTCCTGATTGGTTGAAGCCCGCGTCAAAGCTTCAAAAGCTCAGCTTTGCTCAGCTTCGGCGTTTTGATACGCGAGCGTTTCGCGCGTCAAAAGCTTCAAGTGAGCGCGTAGTACGCGCGACTCTTGAAGCTTTTGACGCTCGTCAAGTGACGCCGGGGCTCTCGGCTTCACCTGACGCGCTTCACCATTCACTTTCAATGGAAACCTGACGCTTTTGACGCCGAAGTTAAAGGACAACTCACCCTCAAATCCATTTTTTTTGCTGATAAACAGTATAAATGAGTGTCCAATAGTGTTGTCTACATATCCTGGTCATAATCTTGTCACTTTGGTGCAAATTAGTTGAAAGTTAGACTCTCTGCCTAAAACCGTCTGTGAGGCGCCATCTGCTGGCGACCTGTATTACTACATTTGAATTTTGAATCTGGCGCCAACACTGGCACAGAAGTTGGACCTGACGTCTGCAAGTTGGACCTGACGTCAGCAGCCCCCCGCCCAGAGCAATGTAAACGGCCCAGTCTCGTTCACGCCCCCTTTAGTCCTCCAGGCTACGCCCATTTAGAGGAAGATTTGAACAGGAAATGTGAGTAACGTAAGCTCCGAGGTGCGGGGGTGAGAACCACTTTAAGTCCGGTGTGAACGCCCCTTAACCCCGAAAACGTTTTCTCAAAGGGACTCAAACCCTGAAGCTTCTTCTCAAAGGGACTCTAACCCCGAGACTTCTTCTCAAAGGGACTCTAACCCCGAGACTTCTTCTCAAAGGGACTCTAACCCCGAGACTTCTTCTCAAAGGGACTCTAACCCCGAGACTTCTTCTCAAAGGGACTCTAACCCCGAGACTTCTTCTATTACAATTTAGAGAGTTTGACAGACCCCAAAAACAGACCAAAATTTAGCTAGTATCCAATTATACAGACTTTACATATAAAAAGGTGTCTGCTTACCTTATTCTTGTCAAACGGGTACCAAGGACTGTCCGAGAGGTCTGCCAACTCTTTTCCGCGTCGGAATATTCAATTTAAACGCAAGTGAAAGAAGCGACAAGAAGCATCCAGGAACAGCTCTTCCAGCCTGCTGGAATCTCCGCTCCCAGACACAGCATGCCGGTCTCTCACGCAGAGGAAAAGAAACAAAGCAAACTCCCTCAAAACAATCCAGAGAATGGCGCACACTGAGCCACACATCCTCCACCAAATCTGTCAGGGATTAAGCAGACAGAGACGGATAGTGGTGCGCCAAACTCTGGAAGTTTATTTAAGTTTCTCTCAAGTTCCTGTGGTTTCCTTTGTCTCTTTCTCTCAGACAGAATAAAGGCAGTACACAGTTTATATAGTCATTGTCACGTCACACATCGAAAGACATACGTGTCACAAAGAGACAGTCAAATCATAGTCATAACATGGAGTCCTTGTACAGTCCTGCACGTAGGCCATATTGCTATCTAATACTAACAGTTATTTGTGACTAATTTGTGAATGGCACTTTAAAAATAAAGGTGACTCAAAAAAATTAAATAAAAAATGTTGTACAGAAGGGTGTCATAGAAAGGTCCCTGGTCTGATTGTTAAGTAGATCCTGTTATGTGCAAAGGTGCCGAAAATAGGAACAAAAACTACAAGTACCAAGAACTACAACATTTCTTACCCTGAATCCCACCTCTAAGGAGAAACTACCGTAATAACCCTTTGTAAATGTCATAGAATTGTAAAGGAACACACAGAAGCAGTTTGATTCTCTGTAAAATATATTTTGGTCCAAAAGCTGATCTTCAAAAATACAACATGTGCAATTGTCATGGTTTTACAGTGTAGTTTACAGTGTGCTTGGAATCACATTAGTTCAGCCTTCATCTTACGGACAGGGAGTGTTACAACATATTCACAATCATTCAGCTGCAAGTTCTTTCAGTTTCACATGGGCTTCTCTATGCAGGATTATCATTATCATCAAAAGTGAAGCCATTTAAGATAGATTTTCATTTAAACAACATGTTCAGTTCATAATTTTAGCCCTGCATTTCATTCTTTTATTTTGTATTTTTGATGTTTAAAATAATTGCTTTTCAAAAGGTGTATACAAATCGCTGGGCAGAACCTTTATATCTCTCCCAAATGAAAGCACAAGATGTAAGACGGAATTGTCACGAGATGTTTTGCATCTTTTTCATACTTTTTTTGTAGTTTCCCTGCTTCATGTTGCACTTGAATCCACCGCTAATAATTCCTAAAAATCTGCTTTATTAGTGCATTTACTAAAATACTTTTTTACAGTAAAAACAACATTATTATGGTTCTTAATAACAGACATTTCACTGACTAAGCATGCTTTTTACAGCACGTTTTCCTGCTCCCTCTTATACCCGCAGTCCCAACAAAGCAGGGTAACAGGGGTAGCTCAGGCCTGTTCATGTCAGACTAGCTGCTGATTTGCGTCTGGCAGAAGTTCTGATATTAGTATGGAGGCAGCGAAAACAATTATCAATGAAGAACTTCAAATATATATCAGCTGTGCAAATGAGCAGCTAGAGAGATTATAGACTTAAACAAGATACCAAAAGGCTTTGAAGTGGACAGATCCATTTCCAGTTAGAAGCACAATACTAAATTGAAGAAACTAGTAAGCGTCTCCGGCCACCAAATGTTAAAACTGCATTTTCATTCATGATCAGAAATAAACCTGGAGTTATGGTATTGACACATTGTACGAGTATTAATGCAACACAGACAAGATTTAAAAATATATACTACTTATATCCAATAGAATTTTGCAGCTCACTTAAATCTTTAAAAAGACTCAAAAAAACTGTATGGGTCAAAATGTACCATATACTGTATAATCTGTATTGGCCAAGTTTGGGCTACGGTACTGAACCATTTTTGTATAATAAATGATACATTCTGTTTACTCCAACAACCTTGTTGTTGAAGTAAACAGAATGTACAGTAAAAATAGAATAATTCAGAGATATTTTGTCTTCATCTTATTAGAAAATGTTGCACACTTGAGCCGTGTGAATCCTTATTCTGTGGGTGGTCATCTCTTGTGCTGTCTAATCTAAACATGTGACAGTAGTGATCAAATTAGTTACATGGAATATAGATAATTTATTGTTGTTAGGTAGCACAAGTTTAAGATATTTTCACTTTCACGTAATAAATAATCAATGAATGAATAATGAATGAATAATCAATTGAAGACAAAAAGGAATAGATGAGATCAGACCAGCATGTGTCAAAGTGGCTATAGTCTTGTGCTAAAATTCTCTGATGTGCACTCTGCATGCACATCAGTAACTCCAGGTGTATTTGTGCCTCTGGATCCACATGAAGCTGTTAAAAGCTGTAGATGGTTATTTCAGCACAGGCTCCCCCTTTACTGCTTTCCACAGCATGTGGAGGTTTGTACTCAAAAGTGCAACTCAATGAATCATAGGCCAATTAAACACAGTATTTGGCACTAACAGGCCTGCCTTCATAATTGTGCTACAACGACACAGGCACAAAGTCAATACTTTTTAAAGGTCTGCATTGCAAAAATATCTAGTATGACATGAATTAAGAATATGAACTTGTTTTGAGGTAATTGTCTGAAAAACTGGACTTATAACTTACAATTTATGACGCAATATTTGAATTAATAATGTTTAATTAAAAAGGTACTTTGGCATTTCATGTTTTAGAAATATTGATTTTATGGTCAGGATTAGCAACAATTCCACAGGGGTAATTCTCAAAATTAATTTAGAGGCAGTTTGGTTTAAAAAAGCAGAATGTGTGGATGAACAGGTGGATGTGCTTGTGGCAGAAGTTTCTGTTATCAGTGTGGATGAGTTGAAAAAAAAGACTCCAGGTCTGTTTGTGACGGGGCACAATGTTGGAACATGTTTAAAAAAGAAACTCCTCAAAACGAGATTATTCATTCAAGTCACCCTAATCCCTCTATTTTTACAGTGGAAAAACTAACCAGCTTTAGCAACATCCCTAGACACTGATCAACAGCTTCAATCTTATTGCCTAAACCTCAGATAGTTTAGAGAACTAGTAATCAAGAATAAATAGAGCGAATGCATGAGAAATTGCTACAGCTGAAGCAGTCTGGAGTCAGGCCACTGCAAGCACAAGGCGCAGGCCCAGGAGGCACTCTTCAGGCAAAAATGTTTGAAATGAAGTCTCGGAAGCGCTTGGCGTACTGTTCCGGGTGCACGGTGGAAATCTCTGCTCCGGCCTGCGAGGGAGAGAAGAACAAGTCAAACATTACATTCTCAGAGATTTAGTATAAAGCTTATTTTAGGAGCACAGAAAGGAAAATGCTATACTTTTTAGGTAAAAGGTAGAAAAACTTCTGTCCACAACATCATGTGAAGTGTGCTTGGTGCGTGCATGCGTGTCTCACCCCATGTTTGACTGTTTTGGCTGCGTGCGCCGCCTTCTTCTTGGTATCATACTGAGTGAGGACGTCGATCAGACCCATGAAGTACACCTCCCTCTGAGGAGCTCCTGCAGCAAAGAAGAGTTCACTAATTAAAACCAGACTCATAATTCATTAACAAACCTTAACATTTCTTTCAGGACGAGTTATTTCAGAAATGTGATGCAAAACTTACAGTCTATGTGGGAAACCGACAAAGGAGGCCTAAAAGAGTTAGAGGACTACGCTTTAAAAGTTGCTTCTTCAATTTTGGCACATAACCTGTGTTTGGAAAAATACCAGTGGCGGACAGTGTTTTTCATGCTTGGGCCATCACTGGAGGTCATGTCAGCATTAGCTCTGGACTGTATACATTTAACCAGAAAATAAGGTGTAACTGGGATTTTTGTAATAGTAGCAGTGTGTGTATTGTTCTGTTAGAACTGCTAGATTGGCTGAACATCAAAACAACACAAAAATTATATTCATATATTGGCTAGTTTGTTAAGTTTATTGCTTACTTTGATCCTTGCACATTATCATCGAAGGGAAGTTTTCGAGAGCAGGTGTGTGTCACCTGCTGGAACCCGCCAGGAGCCTTCAGAGCTCAGCTCTCACACTCCAGAGAGACATGTTTGTGTTAGGACAAACATTTGTATGGTTTATTTTAAGAAATAGTTTTTGTTTGGTTGTTTTGAAGTTTAGTACCCAATAAGAGAAACATTAGAGAAGAGCTTTTTATTGATTCATCTTCTGTAGAATTAGTGATTATTTTTGTTAATCTTGGTCACTATTTTCTTTTATCAAAATAAATCTAGCCCAATGGTTAAAAATAAAAATAAAAATCTATTGAGAGATCAATAATCTAAATGAATGGTGACGATTGTGCGTTCTTTTGCAGTCCCGGAGCTGTGGCCGGTCTCATTACCTGCACAGCTCTTGACCGCGTAAACGTCCACGTATGGATCATACTCTCCAGGCCCCAGGGGTTTATATGAGCTCATGTATCCAGCAATGCCTTCGGGGGAGTTTCCGTAGGAGCCCGCAGCAGCAGAGTGCGCTAGGCCGTTCTCGTGCTCCTGCTCCTCCTCTGGCTGCGCCTCCTCTCCCTCTTCCTCATCCCGCTCTGCCCGTCCCACGTCATGGATGCCCAGGAGCAGACTGTAGTCCATGATCTTTAACTTCACCAAGAACTGAACAAACATACAATTGCAAACATGCAAAACAACAGCTTCAACTCAAACAATACACTAGGGCTGCACAACGGAAAAATATCAAATAGCAAGTCTTTTGTAAAAGATAATTTCAGTAATGGCTTTGTGTCACCTTTCTTTAATACACAACTCCTATGCATTACAGAAAATGTTTGTTTGTTACAGTTAATATAAATGAAAGACTTTTGAAGTAAATTATGAAGTTTAGTAAAATATTCCATTGACAAATAATGGACAAAATGACAAATGACAAAAACTCAGATCAAGAGTAATTTTCCCAAATGATCAAGTGATCTTTAGACTTGCATTCTTTGCACAAATTGATAATTGTGACTACAAAATAAGCGATTTCGACTTCACTTGATTGAGAATTGTGCAGCCTGACAATACGAATGTTCAAATGTACATTATCTAGATTCAAAAACACAAACATAAGGCACTTTTGCGAGGCCGGGGCCTTTGATGGCCCTGCTCTGCACGTTTTTATTCTATTTGATTTAACCTTTATTTAACCAGGAAAAATCCCATTGAGATTAAAAACCTCTTTTTCAAGGGAGTCCTGGCCAAGAGGCAGCAAAGTTACACATAAACACAACCAACAGATAAAATTACATTAAAATGGTTTAATTCTGGGGGCTGACCTCGGACATTTCACATTCACCTATGAATAGAGTTGGTCTTTTGAAGAGGGAGGCATCCACACTAGAACATCACACCTCAGGATGACATAGATTTGACATTTGATTGAGTAACTATAATCAGTGATGCCGCAAATTAGTGCTCATCTTTAACGCTATTCAAACACCATAAGCATAAAACGGGAGGGCAACATGCCTGTACACAAAACATCAACAGCAAGAAAAACACCATCCATTTAGCAAACATCCATACATGATGGAACAGATGAGTGAAGTCTAAATCACATGAAATTGTTCCTGCATAGTTCAGTGAATCTAACATGCATTTTACGTCACTGAAATAAAGCTCAATAAAGCTAAATAAAATGCAGAAACTGAGCTGAGCCGTCCTGATTTAGGCCCATCTGAAAACGCATATAAAGTTCACATAATGGACCTCATTTATAAAAGCTCTTGACGGCAAAATATATAAGTGCCTGTACAGGGACAGTTAAGTCCAATATGCGATTTATCAATTTCAATGTGAACTAGAGCTGCAACTAACGATTATTTTGTAATCGATTAATCTATCGATTATTTTTACGATTAATCGAGTAATCGCTTGGCTGTGAATTGTGTAGAAAAAATTAATTTTTTCATCACAAAAAGCTAAAGTGCAACACTCGAGGACTTATTGATGGCGTAAACTTAAAGTAAATGTTTATAACAGGCTCTTTGTGCTAATTCTGCTATCTGATTGGATGAGACAGACAGATATTCATGAAATTATAAAAACAAAGTCGGTTTTAATCAAAAATACTACATTTTCATGTCATTTTTGTTCTGTTTGAGTCCGTGTGAACCAGAAAACGATTAATCGATTACTAAAATAGTTGTCGACTATTTCAATAATCGATTAGTCGTCGATTAATCGATTAGTTGTTACAGCCCTAATGTGAACGTTAGGTAAGTTCAAATCTCAGGGCACGTCTGGCATCTCATCATCATGGCTCATCATCTGAGCGCCGGTTCTGTCCCACATTTAGGCAGGTAGGCACGTTGTTAAATGAGGCCTATTGTCCAGGTTGTTGGTGTTAATGCCCTCTTGTGGTGTGTCAGTGCAGCTCACCTCCACGTCTCTGTTGAGTTTCTCCATGAACTTCTCCCTCTCCTCGTCAGACACATACACCTTCTGCATGTTGTTCCTGAAGTCCATGTCTTTAAATGTGGGCAGCTCCTTTACCTGCAGAAAGATGGATAAGATGAATGTGTGCTCCATATTAGAATTTATAGACCCAGATTCAAATGTTAGCCAAACTGGGCAGAGCAACCATTAACAACCTGTTCTTACCCTTTCTTTGTCACTTGCTTCTCGAGATACAAGAGATCCCTGAAAAACAAGTGTAAATATAAGTTGTAATCACAAATCATGTTTCCATAATGAACACTAAGGTGCAGTATTGTCCTATTGTGCTTGTAGACAAAGGCACTACCAACAAAACTCTTAAGTACTTCAATCTTATAAGAGGAATATTGTCGTTCTGAGATCATTTTCTTAAAACAATGATAATGATGCAGGTACACTTTTTCAAAGAGAAATAAACACCGGAAGTGGCAGAAGTAGCGGCCGGGCTTTGATGCTAACGGAGTTAAGCTAGCGGTAAAGGTTGTGTAAAGTTCTTCGCCAAGAATGCAGCTCTGCAGTGTCTCTGTCCAGAGACCTTCCAGAGACTTTATATACCAGCAGTATGTGTTCACGGAGGTGCGCCATACGTTTATTTTATTATTGAACGGTACTTCCACATTGACGAACACGCCAAGGCTCGCTGCATTAGCTTAGTCACTACTAGAGCCTGAATGAGAACTCAGACTGGCATATGTTCAGCCTGTGTCCCCCATTGTCAGTCCTGGTTGAGTCCTGGTTTAGTCCTGGTTATATACAGTGCCTTGCGAAAGTATTCGCAATTTGAACCTTTCAACATTTCGCCACATTTCAGGCTTCAAACATAAAGATATAAAAAATATTTTTTTTGTCAAGAATCAACAACAAGTGGGACACCATCGTGAAGTGGAACACATTTTATTGGATAATTTAAACTTTTTTAACAAATAAAAAACTGAAAAGTGGGGCGTGCAATATTATTCGGCCCCCTTGCGCCAATACTTTGTAGCGCCACCTTTTGCAGCAATTACAGCTGCAAGTCGCTTGGGGTATGTCTCTATCAGTTTTGCACATCAAGAGACTGGAATTCTTGCCCATTCTTCCTTGCAAAACAGCTCGAGCTCAGTGAGGTTGGATGGAGAGCGTTTGTGAACAGCAGTCTTCAGCTCTTTCCACAGATTCTCGATTGGATTCAGGTCTGGACTTTGACTTGGCCATTCTAACACCTGGATAAGTCTATTTGTGAACCATTCCATTGTAGATTTGGCTTTATGTTTTGGATCATTGTCCTGTTGGAAGATAAATCTCCGTCCCAGTCTCAGGTCTTTTGCAGACTCCAACAGGTTTTCTTCCAGAATGGTCCTGTATTTGGCTCCATCCATCTTCCCATCAATTTTAGCCATCTTCCCTGTCCCTGCTGAAGAAAAGCAGGCCCAAACCATGATGCTGCCACCACCATGTTTGACAGTGGGGATGGTGTGTTCAGGGTGCATTGTGGCCAAAAAGTTCGATTTTGGTTTTATCTGACCAGAGCACCTTCTTCCACATGTTTGGTGTGTCTCCCAGGTGGCTTGTGGCAAACTTTAAACGAGACTTTTTATGGATATCTTTGAGAAATGGCTTTCTTCTTGCCACTCTTCCATAAAGGCCAGATTTGTGCAGTGCAAGACTGATTGTTGTCCTATGGACAGACTCTCCCACCTCAGCTGTAGTTATCTGCAGTTCATCCAGAGTGATCAGGGGCCTCTTGACCGCATCTCGATCAGTCTTCTCCTTGTTTGAGATGAAAGTTTGGAGGGACGGCCAGGTCTTGGTAGATTTGCAGTGGTCTGATACTCCTTCCATTTCTATATAATTGCTTGCACAGTGCTCCTTGAGATGTTTAAAACTTGGGAAATCTTTTTGTATCCAAATCCGGCTTTAAACTTCACAACAGTATCTCCGACCTGCCTGGTGTGTTCCTTTGTCTTCATGGTTCTCTCTGCGCTTTAAACACAACCCTGAGACTATCAAAGAGCAGGTGCATTTATACGGAGACTTGATTACACACAGGTGCATTCTATTTATCATCATCAGTCATTTAAGACAACATTGGATCATTCAAAGATCCTCACTGAACTTCTGGAGTGAGTTTGCTGCACTGAAAGTAAAGGGGCCGAATAATATTGCACGCCCCACTTTTCAGTTTTTTATTGGTTAAAAAAAGTTTAAATTATCCAATAAATTTCGTTCCATTTCACGATTGTGTCCCACTTCTTGTTGATTCATGACAAAAAATTAAAATGTTATATCTTTAGGTTTGAAGCCTGAAATGTGGCGAAATGTTGAAAGGTTCAAGGGGGCTGAATACTTTCGCAAGCCACTGTATTATGATCAACAGTGTCAAAGGCTGCAGTTAAGTCAAGGAGCACAAGCACTGCAGTATTACCCAAATCAACTGTTAAAAGTAGATCATTAAAAATTCTCAAGAGGGCCGACTCCGTGCTGTGTAGGGGTTTAAAGCCATATTGAAACTTTTCATAGATTCCGTTCACTTCAAGGTAGGTCTGAAGTTGGGCATACACTAGCTTGTCAAGAATTTTTGACATGAAAGGTCGCTTGGATATGGTACTGTAATTGGACAAGGTATTTTGGTGAAGATTAAGCTTCTTGAGAAGCGGCTGAACAACAGCGTGCTTAAAAGTAGCAGGGACAGAACCAGGAGGCAAAAAAATCATTTAAACCTTCAACAAATATGGACCAATGACATCAAATACAGACTTGAGAAGTCTGGGAGGAATGCCATCTAGTGGACACTCAGAGGGTTTCAGACATTGCATTATAGTGCTCAATTCAGTGAGTGAAATTGGCTCAAATTAATCAAGGGTTGTAATACACAAATGGGATAAAGATAGATATGAGTTAAAGAAAGATGTAGTTGACGCTCTAATATTAACCAGTTTTCCCACAAAAAAATGAAAGAGTTTTCACACAGTTCATCAAAAAACACATTAGCAGGAGAGTCAGAAACACTTAAAAGGGGCAATTGTATCCAGTATGTCAGTGCACTTTAAAGACAAAATGTTAGTGGTCCATGCACCCACTGGGTAAGGTTAAAACCATAAATCACATTTAGGACGTCAGTAACCAGAGGTTTGGAGTCACAGCAAAAGAGGATATTAAAATCTTGAAAAAGTCTTGAATAAATGTTTTGTATAACTTAGGAGGTGCGATAAATGAGCGCACTGGTGGTCGCAACTGTATTTCAAACAACTGCAGCTCAAAGCTGGAAATATATGGCTGATGGAAGTTTCCGAGATTGAAAACAGGATTTAAATACAGTCGCTACCCCTCCACCCTTTCCTGTAGTGCGAGGAGGGTTTAAAAACGTACTTTTGGGGGGTAGAAGTTCAGAAAGCGCTATGGACTCACCAGGATGTAGCCATGTCTCAGTCATAAAAATAAAATCCAGTTTTTGCAATGTAAAAAAGTCATTCAGCAGGAATGTTTGTTAGCAATGTTAGAAAGCAATCTGGCGTTTATCAGCGGCAGGCGAAGATGACAAACATTTGTGTCAGAAGCACAGCAGCGAGCAAGCTGACAGAGATTGCGACCATCCACTCCGCGTGCACAGGCAGTCCAAGAGTGCCACACTGGCGGCGTCAGCCGCGGATCCACAACGCTGCCCCGGACAGGCACAGGAACAATCCAATGCTTCACTGGGAGATCTCCACTGGATAGCGCATGCCTATTCCCACATGTTCGGAGGTAAATCCTATGTTTTACAAGAAGTCCGCCACGCTTTCCCCTTTTCCTTGGGCGTCTCTTTCTAAGGAAAGGTACACGACACAGGTAGACCGGTATGGCAGAGAGAGAGAGAGAGAGAGGCAGGGGAGGCGGCAGGCCAGAGGAAGAGCGCTCAAAAGGACGCTGCTGAAGTTTATTTTGCAGTGCATGGATATCAAGTAATGACTGGTGATTATAGGTAATAAGAGGTGAAACACTGTTGCAGCAAAAGATTATATTATATAGGTAGAGAGACGCTTCGCCAAGCACATTGTTGGCGCCATCTTTCTAGATATTGTGTTGAGTGCAAACTACACAACTGTTGTTTTAACTCTGCCTTTGGCTACGTGTGGTTTAGAGCTGAAACGATTAATCTAATAACTTGAATAATTTGATTAATAATAATAGTCAAGGAATTTCCGCTGCCTTGATGCTTCGTATGCTGTAGTTTATTTGGGGCATTTTGCCTTGTTTTCTCCATAGACTTTTTTCACATTTTGCACGGATTCGTTGTGTGTTACGCAACACGTCACAGATTGTAACACTATTTAGTTGAACTTTAGAGTCTCCTCAAACATGTCCACTTTCTTGTTAGAAAACAGCGACAAGTTATGAGAAAGTATTTTTGATGCAAAATAATAAGTTTTTATGACACACACACGCACGTCCACAAAGTGTTGCTTGACTAAATTTACATATTGAAAGTAGAGCCCATGACAAACTATGTCAGAAAGAATGACCAGTATTCATCAATTAGGTGGCGCTATATTTGTCAGTAACAGAAAATCACAGAATAACACAATTACAACAATGAACACTATAAATGACAATAAATAAAAGTGAACAGACTATATACCTATAGTATAGGTGCAATAGAATACTATTGTGTGTCTTTGTGTGTTTGTGCATGCATGTATGTGCGTTTATGCGTGCGTTTGTAAGTGTTTGTGTGGTTACATCTACCGAGTGTCGTTCTGTTTAGTCCAGGGAGCGCTGTGAAGATAACCGGACTTTGCCGCAGGCTCTTGTTGCGGGCTCAGTGATATTATGGCGCTTTTCCACAGCACCGGCACTACACCACTCTACACGACACGTCACGACCCGGTCGAGTACGCGTGCTTTTCCACATATCTCCATCGGACATCTTCAAGTGGGTGGGCTTTTCATACCACCGCTACCGCTACGCCATTTCCGCGCGACTCACGAGCATGAAACCAGGAAAAACATTACATCCTCAAAGTCCTCCATAGATACCACTACAGAGACCGCTAACTTTTAAAAATGGGTTTCAGCACTTGCTCGCATTGCACAAAAATAGTGCTGGTCCCATTCTGTACAATCTGAATGGGACCTTTAGCAACAGCGGCCTGTGTAGCAGAGCATGCATGTCCGAGGATACTGCTAGGCTATAGCTAATGCTAGCGCTAGCTCGAGACTCAGCTCACTCACTAACCCTGGATTCCAAAGCTACTACAATACTACACTTAACACATCCATCACTACCATCAGAGGAGGATCCGGGGTTTAAACTCGTCATATGGCAACTCGAGCAGTAAAGGACAGAGGGAGAGACAGCCATAGGGGTAGCGAGTTGGCGGCTAAGCTAGGCTAAGCTAGGCTAGGCTAGTCCGGACTCGGGTCTGGACTACAGCAGACTCCGAGACCAGACAAACAATCGATACCCAAACCTCAGATACAATTATAATAAATGAATGAAACACAGTCTTGATACAATCACAAATTTATTGAAAACAAAAGTAAAGTGCAAAACCAACAGTTTACAAAGTCAAAAGTACGTATGTGTGAGACCAGATGAGGAGAATAATCCGGTCACTCATTGCTCGTTGGTAGTCTCCACACTTATGGGAAGGGATTCTCATACAAATATACACATGACAACTTAAATACAAGCACAAAACAGAATGACAACACGTGAATACTGCAGATAATACGAGATAAAGCACAGTAGCACAGGAGGACGTTAGCTTAGCTGCTATCGATAGCTAAATGAAGCTAATTGTAGCTAGCTCACTGTGTACAACAGACAATCGAACGTTTATACAGTAAATACATTTCAGTGAGAGCTTTAACGGGATTTGTAGCTAACCAGTTATTTCAGGATTACCACAGACTAGTCACAAATCCAGAGCAATCTCCTGAAAACTGTGTTGAGCCTCGAGCTGCCTTTGAATTCTTTCTTTGGCCTGAAGAGAGGAACGTGTGGACCTCTTCCACCGACCAGGACCAGGACCAGGACTTTTGGGGCTTTCTGTGCAATTCCATTTCTCTGGAGTGAGGAGGACGTAATGTAGCCGAAGCAGAGCCGAGCAGAGCAGCCTGTTTTAAAGATGGCGGTTGAGTTGTTTTTCCCAAAGGGTCAGAGGTCGCGTCCAGTGACGACACTCGATTGTTGACCAATCAGCGTAGGCAGTCCGCTTACGTCACGAGCGTGTAGCTTTTTGGAACCGCTCCAGAGGCGGTCCGAAAATAGAACACAATACCTAGCTTCAACGCTAGTGGAAATGCAAAAGTAACGCGCCGTGTCGTGTAGAGTGGTGTAGTGCCGGTGCTGTGGAAAAGCGCCATTAGCGATAGTCCACCTTTCGGTGGCTTTTTTTGGGGTGCTCCGCTGGTCTGCTGCTCTGACCCTCAACATTGGTCTAGAGACACATTTACTGCTCAAATTGCCTCCAAATGAAGCCTGTCCCTGACTATATTCCTCCATGCCTGCTTCGCCTCTCTCCTGCACACAGTGCTCAGACAGTAATATTTGACCAAGACACCCACAGAATGGTGCTGCCACCTGCTGGCTGAATAAAACACTGTCTACAGCCAAACCCCAGGCATGTATGATACAGATGTATTTTCAAATGACATCAATGGCAGTCAATGGAGTTTAAGATCAATGAAAAGATCAAGTGTTTAAAAAGGACAGAAACAAGTTGAACATATTACATATTTGGTATGTTCTCATCAACATGTTGATGAACATGAGTACGTCATTTGAGTTAGTTTGTTGAAATGCTGTTGGTTTTGTCTCTGCCTAAACCTCAGCAGCTTCTCCAAATTGTGTGTGGGCTAAACATGCAGCAACAAAGAGGGATGGTACTTGCAATGACTTTAACTAAACCAGTAAGAATGGAAACTACATACTGTTTTAGTATAGCAGTTAAAAGATAACACAAACAAAGTGACAAAGGGATGGCCATGGTAAAGACGTCTAAAGGTACGTTCACACCGGACTTAACTTTGACTTCAAAAGTGTCAGGCTTGCATTGAAAGTGAATGGTGAAGCGCCCGGCGTCACTCGGCGCGCGTCAAAATAAGTGCGCGTTACGCGCGTCACTTGAAGCTTTTGACGCGCGTAACGCTTGCGTCTCTTTGAGCAAAGCTTAGCTTTTGAAGCTTGAAGCCGGGCTTCAAACCAATCAGGAGACAAGGAGCAGCAGCAGCAGCTGCGGGTCTGTCTCTGTCATGGAAAGAAGTCATTTTGCTGCTGCTGCTGCTGTTTTATGGTCATTGTTATTAACAAATATTATTTGTATGAGTAGTAACGTTCTTAATAAGTACGTAACGTAAACGTAATGTATTTAATATAACAAGAAGCTGACGATGAGTCTGGCTCAGAGCGGGAGCGAGGCACAGGCGGGGAGAGAGAGGCGAGAGAGAGGCGAGGAGAGGCGAGGAGAGGCAAGGAGAGGCAAGGAGAGGCAAGGAGAGGCAAGGAGAGGCGAGAGAGGCGAGAGAGAGGCGAGGAGAGGCAAGGAGAGGCAAGGAGAGGCAAGGAGAGGCGAGAGAGGCGAGGAGAGGCAAGGAGAGGCAAGGAGAGGCAAGGAGAGGCAAGGAGAGGCAAGGAGAGGCAAGGAGAGGCGAGAGAGAGGCGAGGAGAGGCAAGGAGAGGCAAGGAGAGGCAAGGAGAGGCGAGAGAGGCGAGAGAGAGGCGAGGAGAGGCAAGGAGAGGCGAGGAGAGGCGAGAGAGAGGCGAGAGAGAGGCGAGAGAGAGGCGAGGAGAGGCGAGAGAGAGGCGAGAGAGAGGCGAGAGAGAGGCGAGGAGAGGCGAGGAGAGGCGAGGCGAGGGGAGCTCCGGGTTGCGGGTACTCAAACTGGGCGAGTGACTTTGGGAAGTAACGCTGAAAGCGAAACTCATCCGTACGCAGCTCCTGGAGTAAATGACGAAACTCTGCAAACACTGCAGCCTCTCAAGTCTGTGGTGAACCCAGAACACGTTTTGTAGAAACCCCACAGCAATGTTGTTTGGCTTTATATAACAAATAAAGGCTTGCTGCTCTCTGGAAATCCACAGTTGTCTTTACTACCAGCAACAGAGAAGCTCCTCCCACCGGCGTCAGGCGCGTCACTCAAGTCAGGAGCTTCAAGCACCAAGGCGTTCACACCGGACCCATCGTCAGTTGACGCGCGTCAAAAGCTTTTTGAAGCTTTTGGTCTGAACGTGCCATAAATCCCAGGACACAAGGAGAGTTAGCACAGAATCCTACGTACCTTAAGGTCGTATTTGCGGTGCACCATGAGTCGGTGGCTGAACATGTTCCTCATGACGATCAGATACGTCTCCTCACTGTCCACACTCACTCGGTACATACCCAAGAACTGAGGCAGCAGTGTGCTCCCGTGGCACTTCACGATGTGCTGTGGACAAACATGAAGGGCAGTTCAGAGGCCTGTTGCTAAACGCTGGTTTGGTTTTGGTTTGAGGGAACTCTGAGAAGACATTTTAGTTTCAGTGTGGTGTAAGTCACACAGAAGACTACACCACACTAACACTACTATTAAGCTACACAGAAAGACTTTATCCAACCACTCTACTCCGGGACCAGGGTCAGTTCAGGTTGAGTTAAAAACACCAACTTGGACAGCCAGCTGTTAACCTATTGACATGTGACAAACCTATCCTCAAACCTTTGTGTTAGGACTTTGAATCAAAGATTTGAAATAATAGACCAATTTGTAAAATACGTTAAATGTGCATGGATGTCACATGAATACGAATATATTCCAAAGAATATAAGTACGTTTATTCTTCCAATAATATACGTTTTCATATGGTTTGGAATCTGTGCCACGTCAATTAAATTGTCTTTTCACAATTTTATTCCACTTTATATATTTTTAACTGGGTTCTCATATTCTCAAAGCCTCTTTACCATTTAATTCAGAAAGAGTGGGAAAACTCTAAATTTGGTATTGTGATATCACGACATGATGGAAATATCACAATATAATTTACAATATAAAAAGCGCAGAGATAAAACTTCAAAAAAATAACTATGTAATAAATCCTGGGGAGATGGGGGTCATGACTTGCATCTCAGTGTATAAAGTATCTGGTGAGGGTTTTTGAAGCCTTTAAAACAACTTCAGCAGACTCTGAATAGACGCAGGTAAGGTGTCTACACCGTGGGCACGGTAACCCACAGAGAAACATTTTTCTGATGTAATCGACAACACTCGATACTATGACACCCTAGTCAGAAGTTTTGAGAACTTGAGAAAGGTCTATTAGTTGGGAAGCTTTACAACCTGTTCCTTTGCCACAGCTGGGATCACAGCTGCTGAAGAGTTACAAAATCCAAAGAAAATCCAAACAGAAAAAAGGTAAACATCACCTAAACAAATCCAGTTTCCGTTTCATATTGTCCCTCAAAATTATACTGGTATTACCGCAAACTGTACTACAACAGTATAAAGTACAGAACAACCTGACTGACCATAATGTCTCTTAGTCCTCGATTTGAGAGAGGCATTATACATTTAGTCTGAATCAGGTCAGCTGCAGCCCACAGGAGCAGGGAAGATAAAAGGTTATAGACCTTATAGAAGTTAGGTGCACAGCAACTTCAGATACTGTGTCAAGGTCTGGTCTCAGGTGCGGAAGTCAAGAAACTGCTCAACAATGATCCAGTAAAATCAACCAAGGCACAAGCTACAAGAAATTGAATTATTATTATCATCATCTCGAAGGAGGAAAGACCTTAAATGCAAAATACACCAATCGGATGTTATTCAAAGTTCAATGGACTTAAGGCAAATGAAAACGAAGGCCTCATGTTACAATTATTAAATATGCTATACAATTTTTTTTGTTGAGTTCTTAAAAATGCTTATTACTACATATGAGTTGAATTATAATCCGTAGTTTAATTGAGTGACGCTCGCTCTCCACTCACAGAACGATGAGGAGCGTGTTACGAGCAGGCGGCGTCCTCTACAGTAGCCTCTACAGCGCTGCTAAACACAGCAGCATGTTAGCAGAATTGGCTATAACTCTTCTTGCTCTAACTGTATACACAGCAAAACAGCCCAAACGACACAACAGTGAGGAAGAGAGTACATATGTACACTATTTGGCCACTATTTATCTTTCTATTCAAACAACCATTTACAGAAAAATATGGCTTACTTTTGCCGATAGTTTGAAATGCGATTAATTACCATCAACTCGATTAAACATATTAATCAAGCCCTAGTATAAATAGGGACATTTTTGTACAAATATGTACAGTATTATCGCTTGTAGAATACGATGACAAACGAGAAGCTATTACGTTACTTTTCTTTGGAGCAATCTTTTTTATATAATATTGTAGATAAACTGCAGATGTTTCAGAGGCACTATTTATTGTAGGCACTTAAGAGTGTTTTAAGTTTAGTTGATCCACATGACGGTGGTAGAGCAAATAAATTACCTCTAAGATCCCAACCATGTTAATGCTGTGATCCCTCTTCACAAGGCTTCATATTGCCATCTCTTGTTTTCTTCTTTGTCAAATGTAAAAAGGGCCCACAAATATCCACTTCTTTTTTATTTGATTATTTTTGCTATTGGAGAGTTTACATTTACAGAGTTTACACACTGGTTAAAAACAAACTGGCTTTTTATGGTCATTCAGTTATGTACCAGCTTTTTTCTTTTTGTGATTCTGAATGTTGAGGGTAGCTTTTTGATAATTGTTCCTCTTTGATATTTCTTTTAGGTTAAGTTTATGATCAAGGTGAAATATTCAATACTGATGTGATTCTTATCTATGACCTAACTCAGTAGGTTTGTTCAGCAAAAGCCAAACAATATTTTTGGTAATGTTTTTAAAAAACAAACATTTTACAGTAATACTGGTAGCAAAATCTTTCATGCCTTGAAAATATTGGAAAAAAATGGATTGGTATCGGATCGGTATCGGCAAAACAATATTTACAAATATCAGAATCGGATCGGATTGCAAAAAGTCTGGATCGGTACATCCCTACTATGAACTACTTTTCCTTCGAAGCACAAAGCTATCTGCTCCGAAGTGCCTTCTCCATGTTCCCTGAAGCCGCTCCATGCTTCCGTCCAAAACACACACACGGACCAATCACAGTGGAGCTTCTCTGCGGCGGCGGCTGCGTAGTTAGACATTTTTGAGGGTGCGCAGCAGGCTACTCAAGGGTCTTGCGGTGAACCTTGCGTTGCGCAAGTGACTTTATTTCACCACCGTAAGCTCCACGCTGCGCGACTATACACTAGGCTTAAGACAAGCCCTCATTGGTCCTCCTTGCATCTAGTTCGGCAAGTTGATTGGTCGTTTTCTCATTTGCCTCATCTATCTGTTCTTCTGATTTGAATTTTGTCATGGTCTATTTTTTGTCTCGTGTTTTATTTGTGAACGAAAATGTTGATCAATTTAGTCATCGTCTGCGTCTCAATGAATGACTACTATTTTAGTTTTCGTTCCCCTAAAATGTATTAGTGACAAAAAATTACAATGAAATTAACACTGATAGACATACCTGGTGGTACTCTGACAGAATGTTGTGCATGTCGGCCACATCTTCACTGGAGATCTGTTTTATCACCAGAGTTTTGTCATAGGAGTTGAGAAGCAGGCCTTCACCTTGAGCCTCCACACTGAGGGGGGGACTGCGGGTCAGAGACACCTGCACAACAGGAGGTGCAAAAATGATGACACTCTTGAAAAAGAGATTATTGATCTCAAAGAGGTTCTCCTGGTTAAATAAAGGTCAAATTAAATGTTATATTAACAATACTGTTTGCACCGTTATATTCCATCTCGCGATTGTTCTTGGGAGTGCTACATATTTGTTCTTAACAAAAATAGGTGATGCATGCATTTTAAAAGGCAGAAAAGATCTATGAAACTTCAATTGACAGATTCAACACAGACCGTTGTGAGGGGACCAGTTTGAGCTGTTTCTACATATTAGCTTGGATGAAGCTGAAAACAGCAACCGTGTTTTTGGTGAACAATGTTCATGGTTCAAAGAGAAAACATGCATTTAGCAGAATGTGACCTTAAAGAGTTCAGTTAAAACATGTTTTTTTTAAATGTCTTTTTAATTGATGATCCATCACCTGATAATCCAGGTCCTCAATCCCGAAGCGCTCCCGCAGGTTCCTGAACACTTGCGGACAGTACTCCTTAAACTTAAAATGCCCTGGGAGATTCTCTCTGGGAACATAAACAGAAAGAACCAAACTAATTAGTCTAAACTGTAATTGTTGTCGAATGCCCATTGAGATGAATTGTCTCTTTTTTAAGGTGATGTCAGCACTTAAATTGTATTTAATTGTTAAAATAGTGTTTTTATCTGTACAATAGTGGTGGGAGAAAAACATTGATTTTGTTCAGTACTGTGCACAAAACATCACATACAGTAGACAATAACTTTTGTGATATTCAAATACACAATACAGTAATTACAGTAGACAAAACTATTGTGATATTCAATTAATGAATTAATTAATTATCGGTTACATTTTCGTGTTTTCTCTGATTTAATAGACACACTTTTGATAATATTACTGCCATCTTGTGGTACAGTGCATATGCAGGATGCATGAAAATGAAACCCGTTTGGAGTCTGAACCATGAGGCCATTGTCTTCTACATGTTTTTAGCTAGTACCCCATATAGGGTTTCTACTACTTCTGTCCCCAATTTAAAAACACCCCCCTTCTGAATGCTCTAATAACTCAGGTAATATACATCTGTCTATTACTCTAGTCTATGGTATTTGAATTTAATTTATGTGCTGGGAGCTCAACATTTATTTGAGAGATCGCCTACTCAGAGAATAATTATTCTTGTAATAAGCTCCTGTGTGATAAATAATAAAGTTTTTGGATGACCCTTTTTTTTTTCAGACAATAATGAATGTGACATTTGAGCAGTCTTTTTTCCTAAATTTTTGTGATAGCTTTGAATAATAAGAGGGACATGAATCGCAATATTTGCTGTATTGCTCTATGTTAAAAATTGCAACAATATTGAATTGTGGCCCAAATATTGCAATACTATCGAATCGACATTAAGCTTTGTACCATTTATATTTTACTTGCCCAATGTCAAAAGTTACTTGCCCAAATATGTCTCAATACAATGAGTTGACAAGGGTTTGGCAATTAAGTGTCACTAACTGTGTGGAAAAAAATATAAAAAATCCACTTTCAGCCCAAAAAGTCAAATAATGACTTACAGGGCTCTTAAGTAGTATGCAAAATAAAATAAAAACAAGATGGCCTGTGTGTTGTGTTTGATTTGTTCATAACATTTTACTTTTGTGCACGACCAAGATGCATTGTTATTGCAAGCAAAAATGTAGGTACAAACTGGGGATGGTCCTGAACGCACGCCTATGGTTCTGTCCGCGCGTCTATGGTCTGCGCTCTGTGCCACGTTACGACTGTGCGTTCGCTGAGCTGTTGTCAAAGCGGCTCACAGGAGCCACTGTCATTACAAAGCGGCTGCTCCCGGGGTCAGAAGTATGTACAGCAAACAACAAGTGCACGCAGTCACAAAGTGGAAAAAAGTCAGAAATCGCAAGATCCACTGAACATTTTCATCCCTGGTTTATCCCTGATGCATTTCATTGGTCCAGAGAATTTACCAATGAAGATAATTGCTGCAAAACAAATAAACAGTCCGCTCCCGGCTCTAGAGGAAGAAACGTGTTCCCGGCCTGAATGGGTTAAAGTAATACATCACTTGCCCGATCGGGCTACTTGCTAAGACAGCGCACTTGTCTGTCCCAAATCTTTAATTGCCCCAAGCAAGCGGACAACCGTTAATGTCAAGCCCTGTAGTGTATTTTTAAATCAGTGGGGGGCACAAGGGTGATTAAGCACACTTTTTAATCAAGGGTTGGAGTATCATTTTGATATAAAGTGACGAGGGTGGCTTACAGTAGGTCCCATTCCGTTTTGTCGTCTTCATTCACGCTTCTCGGGAATCACGCAGCTGCGTGAAAAATAGTACATCTTATCGCCACAAGGTGGCAGGCTAAGTCCGCTTTAGCTCTGCCAGCTGCTGTGACTCCAGCTCTGACATGCAGCTCAGTGAACGCACTGCAGTCTGGGCTCCGAGCGCGGACCATAGACACGCGAACAGAACCACAGACAGACATTTACATTTACATTTACATATACGCAGACAGAACCCAGACAGGCGGAGACACGCGAGACACGCGGATCACAGACACTTGGACAGAACCAGAGACACACGAAGCATAGACACTCGAGTCGGACAGGTCCATTTGTTTTATTTGTGTTTAAAGTTACCTAAGTTTCTCCTTGCATTAAAAATGCTTGGTGGTTGTGGATATTTAGACTGCGTGATTTGATAGAATAATACTGGCAATGTCTAATACATATCTAATTTTCAGTAAATTATAAAGAGAAAGAAAAAGTAGAGGAGGTCAAAATTGAATATTGAAAGAATCAATACATTCTTGATTTTCGACTAATTCATGAGTGTTGTGTGTTTAATTGGTGCCAAAGTAGCCTGCTTCAGTCAGAATGACACATACTGTTTTATAACATTGTCATGTGCTTCAGTCAGAATGAAACATACTGTTTTATAACATTATCATTTGCTTCAGTCAGAATGAAACATACTGTCAAGCTAATTTCATACATTCCTCTATCTTTTTATATCCTGAGAAATCCCTTCTAAAGTTTCGAGAACTTTAAATGCACCAAAGCCACTGAGAAAAATGTTATTACAAAATATATACAGTATATTAATTATCAGGGTTCACAGTCTGGAAGTCACTCATTCGCAGCCCTTCCTCCCCCAGACGAATAAACAAAGCCCACCCTAGCCCCCTGTTGTTTCGGTCATCATCTCATTTGACATGCAAATGTTAGCAACCCAAGTAGCGGGTTAGCTCCTCTTCTCTAAACTAGTTCTAGTGTTAAGATGTGCGAGGCGAGCCTGGCCTAGCCTCCCCTCCTCCTAAAAAAAGATTAGAACGCAACATTTAGTTAATAATGTGTGTATAAAAATAAAAAATATTGAAATTATGACTTTAAACAAAAAGTAGTCTTCTGTTCTCTAGATGTTACAGACAAGGCCCGCATCCTTCCACCACCTGAAGAAGATGACAAAGTCTGGGATCGCGTCTTAAATTCAGACAGAAGACATGTTTTATTGTCGATGGTAGAGACAGCACGAACAACAGATACAACAGAATGCAAGTGTATTATACAGAGCGGAGGCATGGAGACCTCCAATCAGCAGCTTCCACGGTGCCATGTAGCTTGGCCTTCAGATAGACACAACAAGGGAAAAGTACTGGCTTCTGCACATTGATAGAATGATGAGTTTAACTTTAACAAAAGTTGCTTAAAAGTGTTATGAAATCTCACATTCCCCCCTCTGGTCACACATTCACGTGTGACCATCAGGATCAATAAACAGCAACATAACATCATAACTCAATACTTTAAAAACTCAAACTCTGTACTTCACTCGGTACTTCAAAAAACTCAGAACTCGGAATACTTCAAAAACTCAGAAAACTCATAAAACATGTTCAGATCTTTCATAAAACTTGTCAACAATCTTCAGTAAAATACCAAACTTCATCAGTCGATGTGGTTCCAGATATTGCTTTGAAAACAGTCTCTCCCACTTCTCTGTGTTGATTCTTTCAGGCTGCATTTGTGTTGAGCCATGAATTCTTCTGTGACGTGTCTTTCAATCACACGTTTCAGCTTCAGTGTCCAGATTCAGCAATTCAATTCAGTCCAAATTATGTCCAAATTGTGTAATCCAATTGTTCCAAATGATGTCCATGCAAAAGAGGACAATGGTGTTGTCCATGTCTCAGCAGCTCACAGCCTGACTGGAATCAGGGGCTGTGCAGATTGTCCAAGTGCTGATCCAGACGCATTCTCTTGAGGTTTTTCAGTTTTGGCTTAAAAAAAAAACCACATTTTTGTGTAAAAAAAAAGTAGTCTTCTGTTCTCTAGATGTTACAGACAATGCCCGCATTCTCCACCACCTGAAGAAGATGACAAAGTCTGGGATCGCGTCTTAAATTCAGACAGAAGACATGTTTTATTGTCGATGGTAGAGACAGCACGAACAACAGATACAACAGAATGCAAGTGTATTATACAGAGCGGAGGCATGGAGACCTCCAATCAGCAGCTTCCACGTTGTGCTTGTAGCTTGGCCTTCAGATAGACAAAACAAGGGAAAAGTACTGGCTTCTGCACATTGATAGAATGATGAGTTTAACTTTAACAAAAGTTGCTTAATACCATAGATGATACACACTATGCTAGGTTGGCTGCTAACATTTGCATGTATTGATTTGCAAATTTAGGTAATGACTTATAACAGCAGGGGCCTGGGGTGGGCTTTGTTTATTCGTGCGGGGGAGGGAGAGCTCCAAGTAGTCCACAGATACAGTACACATGTGGACAATGCAGAAGAGATGCCATGGCAGTGTGTCCCCTGAGAATGCACAGTATATATTTTGTAATCAGTTTGTGCATTTCTCAGAACAATTAGTGCAATCGGCAAAACCTCATGGATAACTTGCTAAAAAGTCACTTCCTCAAAATGAACTTAATTCCTCAAAAGAAAGTCTTCATGTCAATGAAACGGTCTGTGTCTGTGTCCTGACACCAGTGTTTATGAACAACAGTCAAATGATTTAGTCATGTTTTCATTGTGACTGTATTTAGTGAGATATATATGTATGTACTGTATGTCTTTCACATATTTACTGCTTATGCTCTTTGCAATTCTACAGCATTGTGCAACAAAAATAGCACACATACAGTATTTACGTAGAACAAACATACAAAACACTGAGTCACGTGTGACATAATCGCAGCAGTTTCTCGTTTGAACAGATTACAAATGCTTTTGTTCATGTATCAGTTACTTTTATACAATTCTCTGTTTTATAACATCATCATTTGTCATTTGCTTCTGTCCTGTTAGTCAAAATAAAACTTATCACGACTGAATAATTTCTCCCTGTAAAACTAAAGCTCATTTCATGGCTTTGGTCATGCAAATGCAGTAAATATGTGAAAGACATACATCGATACATACATGCATACACACACACACACAGTACATATAAATGTGTATTTTACTCTCACTAAATACAGTCGTGTGTAACTTTACTGTAGTATTCAGCTGTACAGTGTTTAGTGCTCACCAAGATCTGATTTTTTGCTTTGAAAAAAGCAGAGAGAGTAAAGTGTCACAATGAAAACATGACTAAGTCATTTGACTGTTGTTCATACTCAATGTTGTCAAGACTTATAATTTTGACGACACAGACAATTTCATTGACATGAAGACTTGCTTTTGAGGAATAAACTTTTCATTTTGAGAAGGTGATGCACTTTTGCAAGTTATGTGGTGTGTTAGGTGTGACAATGGCAGGGTGTCCTGGTGGCTGAGTGGGTAGCACCATTACCTCTCAACCAAAAGGTTCTGAGTACGATTCCCAGTCGGAGCATAAGTAGAAATTTAAACTTTAATGCAATCACCTGAGTTTACTTGGTAATATCAAGTAAACGATGTACTCGAGGAATTCAACTGAAGTTAATACGCAATTTATTTCCATGGTTTTTTCAAGTAAACTTTACTTGTCAGGGTTTACAGTGTAGACAATACATCATTATTTTAAATATATACGTTAATGCAATTTAATTATAAAGATTACCATTAGTACAAAATATGTATACAGTATGTTGTCTGTTATGCTCTTACTTTGAAATAGCATTCAATAGAAACACATTTAAACATAAAATACATTCACATGCACGGCCCAGCCGCGGCCAGGGATAGGCCTGGGTAGGCCGGTGCCTACCAGTTTTTTTCTTGGCCTTCCCAATTTTGTTCTTCGCCTCTCAAGTCATTAGACTTTTTTGTTTAAAGTCATAATTTCAATATTTTTTATTTTTATACACACATTATTAACTAAATGTTGCGTTCTAATCTTTTTTTAGAAAATATAACCCCCTGATTATATACCATAGATGATACACACCAACACTTATGAAATGAAATTCAACTATGTCATTTAAAAGTTAGATTTTGACATGAATTGTAAAGGTTACTAATAGTGTGTGGGTGAACAGTAAACTTGGAGAAAAATCAAGTAAAGTATGATCAATAATTTTAGGTAAGGCGGATATAAGGATTTACAGTGTGTGGGCCTCACAGCAGAGGCCTAAAGCAGGGGCCTCATTACTTTAATACTTACAGTCTGTGGTAAATACACGGGCTACATGTGGTACACGTGCTTAGACTATATTAAAGGCGCTATACCCGTTTCTGCAATGTTTGAATGTTTAGCACCGCCCCCCAGCTCGCTCACAGGCTTCTCATTTCACCTGCGCTCTCATAACACGGAGCCACCTAGTTTTATTTGCGATCTGATACGTATTCTAACATTAGCATTAGCGTAACTTGTAAGCTGTGCAACAATCACTGATGAAATGGCACTAAAGCAATGCACTGCTAACACAATATATAAGTAAAAGAATACGTTTCGCGTCCGGATGTATTAATTTAAACATTAGAATATATTCTAATATTTAATTATAATTTATTATACAGCTCCTCACAGCAGTAGAACACTCCATTGACTTGAATGCAATTCTTCCGATCATTTTTTCTTGATAACAGAACTCTCAAACCAATAATGACCGCAGCCCCAATGCAATCTGTTTGTAATTCAGGTGTGTAAAATACTGCCATTACTTTGCAAGTACAACAAGCTATCAGCGCCTGTCACTACATCGTGCAGTTTTTCTGCACACTTGTCTGTGTAGAGAAGCTAGCGGAGCTAGCCACGCTCAATAAACAAATACATATCAATCAATCAACACAATTAAACGTCAATCGGACAATACAGTATACAGATACATCCTTAACACACATGCACGGACGATTTCAGAATTTGCTGTCAACGTTTTCATGACAAAAATACTGTTTTAAAGTGACAAAAAGCGATCGCGAAAAACCCGGAAGTTACCATGAAACAGCTAGCTAGCTTAGCTGTTACCTGCCTAGCACGTCCCGGTGAAACCTTTGGGAGCTAACTATTTTATTTGCAGTCATTAAATACATTTCTAATTATAAGGGTTGTCTAATATTTGTTCAAATATGTATATATTTTTTATTTTAGAATTATATTCGAATTTTGAAGTCGAAGCCCTGGTGTTAAGCAGCGCTGTAGAGGCTAGAGGACGCAGGCTGGTCGCTTCTTGTTCTGTGAGCGGAGGAGAACGAGCGGCCCGCTCAGACTATACTCAGCACTTTTCACTGCCTGAATTTCATACACAGTGGAATCAATGACCTCAAGTTTTCAATTAAATTATGTATTATGATACAACTTGTATGTAGTAAAAAGCATTTTTATGAACTACTTAGAAAAAAAATCGGGTATAGCTTCTTTAATATTGTATGTGTAACATTCAAAATAGATTGAGTGAATATTTCCTTTTCCTCATTTAGTGGTTTGCGGAGGAGAGAGCAGCGAGAGAAGTTTGGCAGGGAGTTAAAATAAATGAATTACAGCTTGCTAAATTATTTGAAAGCATCTTCATTATGATTGTTATATTTATGTATTTATTATAAATGTTAGAGATGCCAGAGAAAAGGCGTCTGCTTTTTTTCTGAGTGGGAGGAGACACCAGCGGAGCTGTTTGAGTCAAATAACGTTCAGCGTTATATTACCAATAGTTTCTCTTTCCATAACGATATTCTCTCTTTTTGGAAAGATCACCAACGTGATGCAAAAGTTCACGTTATATGCAGTAGTTTTAATGTCTGCGGGTTATTCCAGAGACTGGCCTGCTACAAGGAGTTGCCCCCTTTTTAACCAGATTGTCGATGTGCGCGGGGCAGAAACTCATACAGTAGGCGACGGATATAATCAGTTGCCAGTCCGATGTACAGTACGCTAGGCTTAAAGCCACAGATAGTTGTCCAGTGAAGAGAGAAGAAAGAGCGATGAGACGCCAATGTAACCCTGCTCACAAGTGCCACCGGGTGGTTGTTTTGGTCATTGCAACGTCACTGGGAGGGGGGAAAATAAAAGACGCGTGAATCACACGTGAGTCTCGTGTGATTCACGCGTGAAAGGCGACAAAACGGAATGGGACCTACTGTATGTGGGTAAACTAACAAAATGAGTATAAATGTGTAACAATTGGGTATGAAAAGAAGTGTTAATATTAGCTCTATACTTGTTGAAAAGATGATTGTTGACTTTGATCTTGGTGTTTGCCTTGAAGTCGTCTGGAAGCAGCATCACAGGAACTGGCACCTGGCTCAAGTCGTTTATCTGTGAAAGAAAATAATACTGGTCAAAATATACAACTGATATATAAGTAGAAGTCTTCTCCAACATATGCCTCTTGAATGCATTACATAGACCATAGGTATGAGATGCAAATCAGGACATTTGGTTGAAGAGAGCTGGTTTTCATATGCCGACTTCTCAAATTTACATATACACATTACGCCACTGCACCCGTTAGTATTGGCTTTTACAGTCAAATGAGATTCATCAAAAGCAAGCAAAGAGTGTGTGTAGTTACTCACTCTGACTTTCACAGCTAGCAACATCATACATGTACTGTATAGGGCTGTCAGTAATGATTATTGTAGTAGTAGACTAGTCAACAACTAATTTGTAAAAATAAAAACTGAACAACTGTCATTGTGAGAAATTGTGCACAACTTAAAAAAGGATTGTTATGAGGGAAGCTTGACGGTTCCTCGTCTATGATGGCAGCTATACATGCATCAAGAGTTCCGAGCTTCCTGTTTGACCGCACAGCATTGTGGGTAGGTGGGTCGAAAAGGTGGGCATTTAATCTCGACTGCTGTAGTGGATTACTTGTCGCGAACAATTGACCTCTCTCTTCCCTCGGTGGCTGAGTGGACAGTACTCTTGCCTCTCAGCAAGAAGGTCCTGGGTTTGAATCCCGGTCGGACAAGGGCCTTTCTGAGTGGAGTTTGCATGTTCTCCCTGTGTCTGCGTAGGTTTCCTCCAGGTACTCCTAGGTTTCCCCTACCACTGAAAACATGTACAATAGGTCTCGCATGCGCCTCCTGTACTGGGAGCCCGCGCTCCGATCTCTCTGTGTGGAGTGAGAGGACAAATGCCCAAAAATAACTATTGTAAACCGCTTTGAGACTCTGGTCTGTGAAAGTAAGTAATCTTTATTTATATACCGCCTTTCAAAACCACAAGAAAAAATACATTTCTTTTTTGTTAAATGAAAAATTCTTTGGAAACAAGATTCACCAATTTCAGAAATTTTGAAGGTAAAGAGTTTTTCATTTAACAAAAAATAAATGCTTTTTTTCCTTGTGGTTTTAGATGTAAACACAGCCAACTTATAGAGCTACATGTAGCTTATGCAACTTACGAGGATCGAATGCTTACATACAAGCTTTATAAACTTGCCCAAAGCTGTACATTTTCAGTTGTAGCGCCCCATTTCTTTTCATACAGTGCGATACCTTGTCCATGGGTTACGGCCACCGGAACGACTCGGGATGTGGAATGTAAGAACGGCACTGCAACCACACTGCCGTAACCCATGGAAGAGGTAAGAAAAGGCACTGTAAGAAAAGAAATGGGGCGTTACAACTGAAAATGTACAGCTTTGGGCAACTTTATAAAGCTTGTAGTTGTATGTAAGCATTTGATCCTAGTAAGTTGCATAAGCTACATGTAGCTCTATAGTCAGTCGGTTGTGTTTACATCTACAACCACAAGACAAAAAATGCATTGCTTTTTAGTTAAATGAAAATATCTTTACCTTACCTTCAACATTTCTGAAATTGGTGATTTTTTTAGCTTTTAAAATAATCTATGGGCTGGACACAAGAGAGAAGTCAATTGTTCGCGATTGATTCGATGCCCATCTTACCTACCCACAATCATTTCAGTTTCCATTTCCAGTTTGACATTACGGAATGAAGCAGGGCGAGCCATGTTGATGTTTATTTGTAATTTCGTTCATGGACTTCGGATGTGTGTTTAAGTAGGGGAATTCAACTCCATTTTACTCAAACACACTCAAATTAATGTACCTCTGAATCAAGCACTGTGTTGATAACATAGTTGTTAGTTGTAGAAGTGAATTCCTCATTAGAAGGAAGCGTCGACAATTACTATACGAGTTTTAATAGTTGACATAATCGGTTACCTCGACTAACCGGAAGCAACAACAGCACTGTATGTCCGGTGTTGGCAGCTCCATACATCTGCATTTTGACATAATAGCTACTACAGTGACAGCTCCTCATGCCAACCATCACAGCTACTACTCTTTTTTGTTGAGTTTTACGGCGGTTTGCAAACCAATGAATAGAGCATAACCTGTCACAGCTAACATTCGCAGTATTAGCCATGACATAAACTGCATAGTGATATAAAGTTACCAGAAACACTGCAAGCTGCTAATGCTAACTGTCACAGCGAGCAGCAAATGTAACTGTATGTCCAGTGTTAGCAGCCCCAAACAGCCTGCATGTACCACAGTGTCTATAGTGTCCACATACAACGTGTATAGACAGTGTTTGCATCAGCCCCATAAGTCCACACAGCGTTAGCATAAATATACACACTGTTAGCATCATTAGCTTTAGCTCGAGCCTCTCACCGAGTGATTGACGCCCCACATGAACACGCTGATAACCGGCTCGCTGGCCCGAAACACCTTCACCTTCTGCTGCACGAAATGCTTTTTTTTAGTCTTGGTTTTGGGCGCCAGGATGACCATGGGGCTGGAGCTGCTGGAGCTGCTGGCCCCGGGGTTGAGGGAAGCCATAGCCGCAGTGGAGGTCTCCTGTTCTTGGTGCGCTTCCTACAGCCTGCGCTAGAGGAGCCGGGGTTGTGTGAGGAGCAGAGTGTGAGGACCATGGTCTGTGAGCTGTAAGGACCATGGATCTATTATAATGGTAAGGACGCGTGTGTGAGAGTGTGAGAGAGAGACGTGTAAACCTGAAGAAAACTATTTAATCTATTACTATGATATTCTATATGAGTATGTTAATCTTTATTTTTTGTTTTTCTGATGCTCTCTCTCTACATATCTATATGTATGGGGTTCTGTCTGTCTGTCTGTTTAGTTATTGTTTTACGTTGCTTGCATGGCTCGTCCGTAGAACTTTACACCACAACATGGAGCTGGACGTGAACCAAGCCTTATTATAGGTTACCAGGGAGATATGCTCTCTAGTTCATTATACAATCCACTGTGGTGACATGTTTATCTTTTGCCTTTCTCTCTCTCTCTCTTTGTGCAGAAAAAAAAATTGCATGTCAATGGCTATTTATTAGGCCCGAGCCCCGAACGGGCAAAGGGCCTATTGTTTTTGCTCGAGAGATGTCAAATTCTGCACTTTGAGCCTTAATTCACCCCCTGAACATGCATGAAAAGTTGTAAAATTTTGCCCAAACATCAGACCTGGTGAAAAATTTGATATTTGGGTGTTTATTTTTATGGGACTCAAAAAATGCCAGAACAGCGCCACCTACAACAGCCAATGGGAGTTTCAGAGGTCAAGTTTGTCGTACAGCCATGAAATTCGGTACACATGTTCCTCAAGTCAAGATACGACCGAAATGTTATCATGGCTCCGCCCTCTGACAAACAGGAGGCCCATAAATTTCACTGCAAAATGGAAAAATGATCCGCAATCATTTTCATACATGTCGGTTGGAAAGCGACTCCTCCTCGGCCGTTTCACCGATTCGCCTCAAAATCGCTCAACATCATCTCAACACATGTACCTTCAAAATGACCTCAGGGATTTTTGATCAGTGAAACATTGTTCGAGCAGCGGAGCGGCAAAATGTGACCTTTTTTTGACCGTTTTTCACATTGAATTTGCTCCCGTTTGCACAAACAAAGTCTGATTTTCACAAAACTTTAATACATTGTTCAACTTTAGGGTCTAGGTCATTTGAAAGTGAATTGATTCAAATTGACACATTAGCGCCCCCTACAGACTATTTCAAAGTTTTAGATGGGCATTTTCAAATTTAGTTTTTTCAAAATGTTTGACATTTTGCACATAAATCTGTTTTGCCCTCTTGATTCAAAAAGTCGATAGGGTCCAAGGCTTATTTTCTACCCTGTTGCTGTGGCGACGACAAACGCTCCCCATTCATGCAAACCTCACACAAAACAACCTCGGCTGTTTCACTTGTTTGCCTCACATTCGCTCCACATCATCTCAACACATGTACCATCAAAATGACTTCAGGGAATTTTGATCAGTGAAACGTTTATTTGAGCAGCGGAGCGCCAAAAAGTGGCATATTTTTTTCAGTTTTTGACAATAGAAAAATTGCTTCCGTTTGCACAAACAAAGTCTGATTTGCATAAAGCTTGAATCTAGGTCATTTGACAGTTAAAATTTTGAAATTGGCTCTATAGCGCCACCTACAACAGCCAATTTGAAAATGCCTATGGGAGGGGTTTGAGGTCAAAATTGTGGTAGAACCATGTAATTTGGAACACATGTTCCTCAAGTCAAGACATGGAAAAAATAATATGGATAAGCCCTCTGACAAACAGGAAGCCCATAAATTTCATTGCAAAATGGAAAAATGAAAACCAATCATTTTCATACACGTCGGTTGGAAAGCGAATCCTCCTCAGCCGTTTCACCGATTGGCTTAAAAATTGTTCTAAATCATTTCAACACATTTACCTTCAAAATGACTTCAGGGAATTTTGATCAGTGAAACTTTGTTTGAGCAGCGGAGCGGCAAAATGTGAGGTTTTTTTTGCCGTTTTTGACATTAATTTTTTTCCCGTTTGCACAAACAAAGTCTGATTTGCATTAAACTTGAATCCATTGTTCAACTCCAGGGTTTAGGTCAGGTGAAAGTGAAATATTTGAAATTGGCCCATTAGCGCCCTGTAAAGACTGAGTCAAAGTTTACATGGGGAGCCAAGCCAGCTACCAATCATATTCATTACAATTTGACTAACAATCTTCTATGGCCTTCTCCACCGACTCCCACTGATGACTGCTGTCGTTGTGTCCTTGGGCAAGACACTTAACCCCACTTTGCCCAAAGCCCCCACTGAAAGATCAAGGCTATGCTCACACTCAGAGAGCAGCCGTCCTCCTGTGGACTCACCACCTGGGTCAGTGAGGGGCTGGTGCTATGAGACTTGGGTGGCATCTCTGACTGCCACCCCCCTGACCCAGAAATGGATTAAAGGGTAGAAAATGGATGGATGGATGGATCTTCTATGGCTACGGGAACAAAACACACGGCGGGGCCACCTCCTTTGAGCGGTGCTACGTGGTATGGTGTGGTGTGGCGTAGTGCGGGGTGGTGTGATGCGGGACGGCGTGGTGCAGGGTGGCTTGGCACGGGGTGGTGCGCGTGGTGCGGGGGGTGCGCGCGGTGTGGCGAGGGCCGTTTGACGCCGCTTGCGGCTTTAATCTTTTTTTATATTCTATTTTGGGTATACAAATCACACCTGGAGTGTTTTACTCTGTGAAACTGCAAACGTAGAATGTACTTTCTCTCTTATACCATTAGAAAAAAATAAAAATTGTAAAACCTCTTTGTGACTCTGGTCTGTGAGGCGGTATATAAATAAAGATTACTTACTTGCTTACTTACTTAGATGGATGGGTTGGCACATTCATTTCTCATTTACCAAATTACCATGTGATAGCTGACTTCAAGGACATGTTGAATTCCTTCAATTCCTTAATACTAAAAGTACAACTATCCATGACAAACTAGAGGAAACCAACCCTAATAATAGTGTAAAAACAGCTCAAATTAATGTGACACTTAAAGGTCCTATATTATATTATATGTATATAAAAAATAAACTATTCTCTGGTTTGAATATCATTTCAGTGCTAATTGACCTTCATTGATTCCCTCAAGCCATGTATGCTTTGAACAATTTTTCTCTTTCATGCTCCAGAGGAAGCAAGACTACCTGATCCACTTTGTTACGCAGCACACTTTCACACGCAGCTCGAGCTTAACAGCGAATAAAAGTGTTAGCATCATGTCAACTTGGAGAACATTTAATTTTGGGTGTAACTATGTGAATTTGACCTGAAGACGAGGAAAGCATGAGTGTAGCTGCACTTCACCAAAGACTGCTTGTTTGCCATGAAAATGGACTTACTCAATAACTGATCAGTAAACCTGTGGTATGTCGCGTTCAGACAGGATCATGCGTTCGAGCGTCAAAACGCACGAGCGTCTCGGAATGCACGCACGGACTGCTCAGTAGAGACGCATGGACTGCGCGGAAAGTCGAAGGGGAGGAGCGGAAAATCGACGCACGCAGGAGATGAATTTGCTGAACCTTTCCTCAGGACGCTCGGGCAGCAACCAATCAGAGAGCCGCTAAGTGGTCAGGTCTGGAAGATCTCTGAACACAGACACGCTGCAAAGCTGCATTATTGGAGAAGATCTTTACACAAGAAGCCACTAGCTAAACCCTGTTAGCATCAAAGCCCGCCGGCTACTTTCGACGCGTGCCAGGACTTCTGGTCTGAAGACCCCTGCGTCTGAAAACTAGAGAATGTGCGTCTGGTGAGCGTGGCTTCAGCGTTCCAGCGTTGGCGGTCTGTAAGCAGCATTATTCCCGCAATAAAATACGCTAACAAGGAGCCTATCTCTAAGTGACTTGCCGTACGGATTGTCATTGTTGGAAACAGTCAATTCTCAGGTCTGAAATGATTATGTACCGGCAAAGGCTAAATTGTTCCGTGTTTACAAAGACAGCGTAAGAATACGTCACCTTGCGGGTGGGGGGGAGGCATGCTCACATGGCAGAGAACCAGCCAAAATCACCTCTATGTAAGAAAAGGTTATAATGTCTAAGTTTTTAGTGTTGGTGTATCACTCAAATTATTATCACACATGTGCATAGAATGGACTATGAAAAATTAAAAAAAGCAAAATATTGGACCTTCTCAAGTGGGTTTGGACAGTTCATGTCCGAATAACATCAACATGTCTTTTACACCCAATTCCAAATAGGCTCTTCAATATCTTAAAATATTGTGAGGGGAAAACCAGGGGGAGGGAATAAGCCGTCAATGCCATCCTAGGGGACTGACTGGTTGGGTCTCTCATGGGCCTGCATGGCAACATAAACACGGAAGATTGTGTGCCTCTGTAGTGGTTGACATTGCTACTAGAAGTGGTCGCAATGTAAAGAGACCAACTTGCTCTTATGAGAATGTTCTGTTTATAAACAAAAAACTGTTTTGACTTCTTTTGCTGCATGCTGCAAATGTTATCCGGATCTACATTTTTCTGTTTCTGTACAAAATGAGGACATTATTTGAAGAACGGGAAGAATTCCAGGTGGTTTATTTTGTGGATCTATCTGGCGGCAGTGGCGGGGACCTATTTTGTGTGCGTATGGATATAACAGTGATGAGTTTACGTAGTTGAAGAGCTGGCCCTCTCCGTGTGAGTTTTGCTACACCAACGGGAAACATTTGGGAAACATAATCTGTGTTACAATATCTTTTTATAAAAACTAACCATAAAAAACAAACCTCGACCCCAATTTGATAATTTCACCAATTTAAGATCTTCCTTTTATACCCAAACTATGGCAACAATTGAAAGGGATTGCATCATGTCTAGGTTTAAATTAATGATTTCCTATTTTAAAACATAATCTGGGACACAAGGTAATGGAGACATTCAAGAATATCAATATACGTTTTTATTTATTCTCTTGTGGACATATTTTTGTGCTTCCACTGTTTTTCACGGCACATACATTGGCACAAATTTTTCCAAATCACATTTTCTTTTTTCAACACAATTAAATGACTTTGGGAAAGACGCATACAGCAAGAGAACAATTTAATTTTTTCCTTGTTGAAAGTATAATTTGATATGAGGTGTGGACATGACATAACTGGACATCTAAGCTTGGATGTACAGTCTATAGAATATACTTTATTATAAACTTCTGTTTTAACACTTACAGAGCTCGCTGTAACACTTCTCCCATTGGAAAAGTGACAAACTGCAGCTTTGACATGAATGAAAATCATCTGTGCTTAAATTAAGAACAAAAACAACTATTGACAATATAAAAATACATGGCACTGTATTGTAGCTTTTAAATAAATCAACATTTCATATATAAAATATTATGTGTATAAAAATATGCCTTACAACTTTTTTGAAAACAGTAACAGCCGTAAGCTCCTGACCTGCCTCTTTACAACACGTGAACACACGAGCTATGTACAAACAGATACAAAACATACGAGAATGTAGAACGTAATGATTTCATTCAATGAGTATCTAATAACACTCACAGATCAACTCAAGAGTGGCAAAATAACTAAAAGGGCTGAATGCATCTAATATTTTCTGCAAAATTGAAGACAAACTAAGCATATCTAGATTATTATTTAATTTTTTTTTTTTTTTTTTTTAAACAATATTCAAACATTTTTTGTTATCAGTCTCAGACCTGGAGTTCTTTTAGGGTTCATCCACATATTCCTTCCCCCATCCCTTCTGTTCAAATCAGGAATAGGCAATTATTTTCACCTGGGTTACTTATTTTCACTGGGTTATTTGGATACTTGAATACATTTTTTAGACTGACCCATGTTCACATGATTATTTTTTGCAAAACATCTTTGTTATAATTCATAATTTTTCAAGCAAACTAATCAATTTGTTTTTTCTTTCTTTTAATTTCCAATTCAAAAAATTTGCAAATCATTTTATTTTGCTGTTGTTAATAACTTTGTTGTTGTCTATCAAACCGTTTGAGAGGACCATGTTTATGCTGAAGTCGCGGAAAAGGGGCAGAGAGCAGAGCTGCGATGGGGAGGACTGAATACGACGTGTGCAGGCTTCTCTCTTTGATAACATTGTTTTTTAAGATTACATTGTTGAATCTAAATATACAATGGCTCAGTTGGTAGAGCATTGGCCTGTGAGCCTGAAAATTGTGGATTCGAGCCCACCACAAGACCTGCTTCATGACTCCCACTAATGTTTCTTGGGCAAAACACTAAACCGCACTTTGCCTGAAGCCCCCATTGAAAGATCAAGGCTGTGCTGTCACTGACAGAGCAGCCATCCTCCTGTGGACTCTCCACATGCAGGAGGATCAGTGAGGAGCTGGTGCTCAGTGAATTGCCACCATCCGACCCAGAAAGGGACTAAGAAGAAGAAAATGGATGGATGGATGTTTATTTGATTGTTTAGAAACTTGTTGTAAGAGGGCCTCTTTAGTTAACCAGAATTTCCCAGAGGCCAACATGGATTGTAAAACTGTTTTGACAGGATTCAGGCTGATCTGGGCTTTAAAATAGGGTATGATATGTCCGTTTTGATTCACACCACAGATACATTAGTGCCTTATGTGGAATTTTGTGACAAAGGGTCTGAGCTTTACATTGAGGTATAACATACAGTAGACAATATTGTGTGCCCTTAGTGCACTTGTATATAGTTTTAAGAAATGATTTATAGATATTTATTTTATGCCTCATTCTATTTCAAATTTTTTAACTTGTTTGCATCGAGAGCCAAAGAAATTTCCTAGTTTGTGACTTTTGCAATTGAAATAATTCTGATTCTGATATTGGTAGAGCTGAAGTTGGTTGATTGGCACTCTGAAAGCTACTCAATGGCTAGTTTGTGTTGACAGAGGGCCACAGAAGATGATACAGCGGTCCCGATAGACATGTCCAAGTCAGACATGTCATGACTTGGACATGTCTGACTTTGATGTGGAACAACTCTATTTTACATACTGTGTGCCTTTTAAACCAGTGTTTCTCTACCGGGGATAAGTGGACTCCTATGGGTCTGCGGGGTATTACAGGGGGTACTTGAAATGATTTTCAGAGTAAGGCATATATACTATGCATCATTTTAAATCTCATTCGCTCAAGAAAACAAGCCTACCAATTATTTTGATCTAAGCATTGAACCCAGAACATTATGAAAAAGTATCCGTCTGCTGTTATCAGGCTCCAATTTTGGTTTAGTTCAAGCATGTTCACCTTGGGAGGGGGTACACAGGCCAAAAAGGTTGGGAACTACTGCTTTAAACGACAAAGAGAGAAATGGCAATATCGGTTTCTTCTGCTCGATTGTAATAGTCTCAGTGGCATAAAGTAGCTTAAAATAGTATTGTTCATCGCAAAATATATCTGCAGCAATGTATGGTTCATCAAAGTGCGAGGACGGTGGGATTGTTTGGGGATCGACACCTTCTGGTCCCTTAGTCGCTGTCTCTCCTCTCGCTCGGGGTCTCTGCTCCTGTCTGCTCACTCAACGTCACACAGCACAGCGCCATCTTGAGGAGCGCGTGAGGGCAGCGGTGTCCCAAGTTCATCCACACACCAGCAGTGGCCACGTTGCATCCCCTTAGACGAGCGACACTGCGGGACACATGGATAGGCTGAGGTTAATTTAAGAATATTAATGAGGGTAATATGAAGGTGGGGTACCGTTTAAGCTTTAAAAATAATAATTTTAATAACAGAAAGAGTCTTGATAAAGTAGAATTTTGTAAACAAATCAGGCCAACAACATGGTGTCTTCATCTTATTTGCTCTTTTTCCCTTGTCTGACTGAAAAAGCCGATCTTAAGATGTGACAGATACAAAATACATTCATATGAAAACTAGTGATAGAACCAAACTTTTTTTAGAGAGAGGCGCTAGTTAGATCGATTTTTTTATATGAAATTATAGAAAGAAATATGAGAAATTTTATAATTTGAAAGTTAGGTAGGCTTTAAACAATAAAGAAGTGCATTTTTAGTCAGTAAGTCAACTTTATTTAGACCAGGGTCACACATGTGTTTTACGTTCCATCAGCTTGGACCAGTGGGGGTGGGTCCCAGCTCAAAAGTGGCCAAAATGATGTGCGCTGACATGCTTGCAATACCACTCCGGGCCAGAGGGCTGGACCCGGAAAGGGAATTATTCAATGAAAATGTACGTATCTTCTGACCTCTCAAAAACGTCTTTACAGGATGGTCCAAAAGTTGGATTTTGGCCCAAAGCTTCATTCCACATGTGTGTCAATACTGAGGGGAGTGAATCTTTTTGGACCAGTCTAGTTTACCCGCTGAATATTTTGAATCACTCATTTTTGGCCCATTAGTTAGAACAGCGGAGATAGGCGTGACTACGTCCGTTAATATTTACAGTCTATGGCCTGGACCTCAGATGGGAGCCAACCATCAGCTCCCTCATCAAGAAAGCCAAGCAGCAGCTCAGGAAAGCTAAGTTGCCTGCACAGGTGTTGGTGCAGGCATCCTCACCTTCTCCCAACAGACAGGAGGCTAGGGTTCATGCGGACCAGAACCTGCCACCATATGAACAGTTTCTCCACCTCTGCAGTCGGACTCTAGCCTGACTCTAACATGACTCTCGCCAGACCCTTGTAGTTCGCTGAACTTCACACAAGGGTGTGGGATTTCTCAATAGGAGATATATTTCAAAAGGCGGGGCCTTGTAAAAAAAAAAAAAAAAATTGTATCATTTTTTGTTTTTTTATTGTGAAAAAATAGACATTACAAAACAAGTGCAGACGTACAAACAAATATAACAACATAGACAGGACTGTGTGTGTGTGTGTGTGTGTGTGTGTGTGTGTGTGTGTGTGTGTGTGTGTGTGTGTGTGTGTTCCTATTTTCCCAAATTTGTGCATCCACCCATCACCCTCATTGCCCCTATTTTCCCTTCTTATTTTTGTCTCAGTTTGGGATGTGTCTAAAGTGGTGCAATTAAAAAGGAGACTGTGGGATGTTGTCAGCTTGATGCAGGGGTACTGTCCAAGGGCATCTCCCACGTCTCCTGTGTCCCTAGCCTTATTTGTTTGTTTTTGTTTTGATGTATTATTATTATTATTGTTTCTCCTGTTTTTCCCTATGTTTGAGTTATGGTGCATTAAAAACACAGACGAGGGTGGTGGAAGGATGAGGGTCAGCTGTGGTTTGATGAGGTGAGTTGGATATGAATGGTCTTATTATTAGTGGAGATATAGAGGGTCTTGTAGGGCAAGGAATGACAGTAATTGTAATGTATTACAAGTAGAAATTGGAAAGTGTGCTGCTAAACAAAGGGGAAATATGTGATGATAAGTACAGTACTTTGACAAGCAAGGGTAGTTGGCAACCAGATGATAATTATTGTTAATACCCAATATAATAATAGTAATATAACTTCAGGGAAGAGGGAGACAAAATGGGGGCAGACGCAGAATCGTAAGAGCAGTGAAAAAAGACAACTTAGAAAGATAAAGGGCAAAACAATGATGACATGGTAATAAACAAATGGTAATAAACAGGAAGGGTAGGTGTGAGTTGGGGGTGTTGTTTGATTTGGTCGTATGGATTGATATTTATTGTAGAGGTGTGACCGAGTATGCATGGGATGGGGGTACAGGGGATGTGGCAGTCAAATATGGGGGACAGGATGTCTGTGACCTTCTCCCAAAAGTTGATGAACGTGGGTGCAGTGCCAGAAGGCGTGGATGTATGTGTCCTGAGTGTTTTGTGTGCAATTAGTACAGATAGCTGAAGTGAATCCCATTTTTGCTAGTCTGTGCCCAGTGTAGTGTGTTCTATGAATGATTTTGTATTGAATGAGTTGTAAATTGGAGTTATTAGTCATGGAGTACTGTAAATATTGTGGCAGATTTGTGTCCAGAAGGCGGGATCGGGGAGGAACCGTAAGGTCCTTTTGCCATTTGTCAATTGGGATGGGGCAGGTTGTGTCAGATTTTGTGATAATTTGATAAGTTTTGGAGAGGCATTTTGTTGGTTTTAGGTTGAGAAGAGAGGTAATTGGTTGTGGGAGGCTGAGGTCTGCGAATGTATTGTTGTATGCTGCTGAAACGGATGCTTTCAGTTGTAAGTATTGTAAAAACTGGTTCTTCCCGATTCCGTGTTCCGAAGAGAGATGGTTAAAAGATGCAATTGTGTTGTTGTGAATGATGTGTTGCAGGTGTGTGATGCCTTTGTCTGACCATGTGCGGAAGTGGATTGGTTTTTTGTTGCTCAGGATGCCAGGGTTATTCCAGATAGGTGTGTGAGTGGAAGGGCCAAGGGTTGAGTTGGTGATTTTGTGGAATTTCCACCAAGCTGTCAGGGCTGATGATATTGTTATGTGTTTGAAGCATGGATTTGATTTAATAGATTGAGTAAGAAAGGGGAGGAGTGAAAGTTCAATATTAGGGTTATTTGTTTGTTCTATGTCTAACCAGGTGTCTGATGAGTGGGGTTTGATCCATTTTAAGATATATTGTATTTGGTTGGATATGAAGTAGTGGAGAAACTTGGGGGCGTGGAGTCAACCTTGCAATTTTGGCTTTTGTAGAGTAGTTAATTTGATGCGGGCAGGTTTGTTTTTCCAGTAGAATTTTATTATTGCAGAGTCGAGGGAGTTGAACCAGGTGGTTGGTGGTTGAGAGGGTAGCATTGAGAAGAGGTAATTAATTTTGGGCAGTTTAGACATTTTCACTGTTGCAATTCTTCCAGCTAGGGAGAGTGGGAGATTCATCCATTGTAATAGTTTATCTGTTGTTGTTTTGAGTAGTGGGGTGTGGTTGAGATGAATCAGCTCTGACAGCTTGGAGAAGAAATTAACACCGAGGTAAGTGATATGTGATGTGCATATAGGGATAAGTGGTGGGTTGGCTGCCACATCCCAGTTGGGGTTTAGAGGGAGTATTGAAGATTTTTGCCAGTTTATTGAGTAGTCAGAAATGTTTGAGAAATTCTCTATGAGGCGGATGGTTTGAGGTAGCAAGGTTTGTGGGTTCTGTAAGAAGAGTAATATGTCATCTGCATAGAGACTGATTTTATGGTGGATTTTGGGTGTTTGGATGCCAGTGATTAAATTATTTTGTCTTATTGCTGCCGCCAATGGTTCAATGTAAAAATTGTATCATTGGATAAACCACTTGTCCGTTATTTTGAATGACGTGCTACTTCAACCACTCACATCGGAGCACACGATTCAGCACACGACTCCTCACTGCGTGGGAGCAGGGTTACCAGATGTTGGCAAGAAATTTCCAGCTCAAAACCCGCAAAGATTCCCCCAAAAAAAATATTTTTTGGCAAAAAAAGGAATGCAATAAACTCATCATTCTGTTTATTGTCTTTTTGGCTATTTATTACCTACTAGTCGCTTTGAATAAAAGTATGCAGGAAACCACCCAACCTGGCAACCAGGTAGTTTCCTAGTGTAGTTTGACTAGTACTTTACACGAACATTTTACTCCTAAAACCCACATATAACAACATGAAACCATCAACATCTCGCCTCATATTGCATTAAAAGTGACATCTGTGTCTTAATTTGTACATATTTAAAAGTTTTTTAAAAATTCACAGATTTTATGTCCTCTGAGAGGAGCTGGAGAGAGCCTGGAAGGTGAAGGTGACGGTAGTGGTGATCGGTGCACCGGGGCAGTGACCCCAAAGCTGGAGGAGTGGTTACAGCAGATCCCTGGAACAACCTCGGCAATCTCAGTCCAGAAATGTGCAGTGCTAGTTTGGATATTTTACATTACTTTGAAGCAACTGTGGTTAAAGCTGAATTCATCATTATAACACAGTACACCAAAGCTAGTACTTTTCCACTGGTATGTTTTGTTTAACTGAAGGCCGAAGCTACTGGAACCGTGGCAGCTGCTGATTGGAGAGTCTCCTTTCCTCCATGCTCTAAAATCCCATACATTCTGTAAAATCTTTGTTCTTGTCCAGTCTCTATCATCGACAATAAAACATGTCTTGACCCCCGCGTCATTTTCTTCACTAGAAACAGTGGGACCCGAGCGATAAGAGGGTGAGAACAAAATTATACGTATACATTTTTTTTTTCTATTTCAGAGTTCTTTCAATAGATGGTAGTGTGGCTCTTTCTGCTCTTCTGCCATTTCACATACAGCTTAGCAAAGATTCACATTTGAAAACGTTCTTTCACGGTCAAACCTGTTTTTTCCTGTAGAATCCACGCGTATCACAGTTGGGGACATAAATATCTTTGTCCGACTGGAACAGTGTGAGCTCCAGACCCCTGAGAACGCTGTTCAAGAGCCGACGACACGGAGCCTGGAACACATGAAGATGGGACAGTCAAACTTAGCCAGAGAAAAACTTAATTATTTACAGAAGATAATCAGTTTGAATTTCATCTTCTGTGCTTTGAAAACGAATATATTTTCAATCAATAATGAGTTTTAGAAGGGTTAATCAAAGATCAAATTGATTTGCTTGTATCCTTGTTAAGAAAAAAACCTATGTTTCCTATTGAACTGCTGGCAGTAGTGGACTTAATCCTGGGTAGGACACAAGTTTCTGCAGGGTATAGCACAGAGCCCATACCCATGGTGGGATTGGTGTGGTTCGTGGATAATTTGCATAGTTGGGAATGTTTGGCCTTCTCTGCTGACTCACCGCAGACTAGAGAATCATGATAAGGCAGACGCTTATCAGCACGAGCACTTTAGTAGAACTTTGATCGAGGCATTTGTGGACTTTAAAAAATGCATGAATGTTTTAGGAACTGAATTCACCATACATTACAGGGGTATGGGCCTTCCTTGCAAGCTCGCTCCTCTCTTGCTTTAAGGAGGCCATGTCCACGATCACTTTATGGGGCGGAGAACAGGGCTTGACGCATCCACCACTAATACATCTAGACATTTTACGTCCTCAAATATGTCCATACATACAAAATGTATTGACAAATATGTATTTTGGATCTTTTGCTGCTTCCACTCATGCTGATGACTGGATGCAGCGTCCTTCAAGCTGAACAACCATTCAATACCGAGTCTTTATCCCTTTACCAGGACTGGACACAAGCATGCCACAGCATGTGCACGGTGCTGCTTAATCACAAGTGCATTGAAACCATAAGGCATTTTCGCATACCGGTTCAATCTGCACTGTTCTGCACAGTTTGTGTGTTTTCACACTTTCAAAGTGAGAGGTGTTGAGCTGCGAAAGAAGGCTACGCTGGGCCCTACTTAAAGAAGCTATGCCTGATTTATTTTTTATGAGTTCATAAAAATGCTTATTACTATATACAAGTTGTATTATAATCCGTAATTTAATTGAAAACTTGAGCTCATTGATTGTATGAATAGAGGCCGTAAGAAGTGCTGAGTAGAGACTTGGCGTGACGCGCACTCTCCTCCAATTACAGAACGAGGCTGTGTTTTCTACAGCGCTGTAAACAAGAGCAGAATGGAGGCAGAACGTCCCTATATACCTGCTCTGGCTGTAACTGCAGACACAGCAAAACAGCCCGAACAATGCAACAGTGAGGAAGAGAAGAGGGAACTAAATAAAAAAAAGATCAAAGAAGAAATCAAGTCCGGGTGAACGTGGCTATCCTCCGGAGAGACCTGCGGTAGCGAACCACCTCAAACTATCTATGCTCGGACTATATTCGGACGCAAAACTAGCGGTAATCTTTCAGTTAGATATCTTGTTAGCAGTGCATTGCTTTTGTACCATTTCATCAGTGATTGTTGTACGGCTTACACGAAGTTGCGCTCATGCTAATGTTTGCATACTGTATGTATCAGATCGCAAATAAAAAAAGATTGCTTCGTGGTATGAGCGCGTAGGGGAAATGAGAGACCTGTGACCGAGTTGAGGGGCGGTGCTAAACATTCATACCTTGCAAAAACGGGTATAGCTCCTTTAAGGCTTGGGCCAGTGCAGGCTCAGAGACCATTTACGCAATGACACTGCACAGTACACAGTAAACAGTAACACGGTGTTTCAGGGTGGTGAAAACGCTGCCGTTGAGAAACGGCCTCCAGAGTGGAACAGAACAGCTGCGCAGGGGAGGGCTGTTTCACAGATGTGTGCAGAATAAGGTGTGAATTCTTTGACTGTGATGACCTCACCACTTCAGTACAGTAGCCGAGAACAAACATAAAGAACAATGGTGGTGGATCAACTAATGCCGTTTTTTCACAGTAACGGTACGGTATGGCACAGCACGGCGCAGTTATTTTTAATTTTAACTAGGGTTGGAAGTGACGGCCGACCCTTTGGTAAAAACAACTCAACCCCCGCCACCTTTAAAACTGGCTGTTCTGCTATAATACGCCATCGTCACTTCAGAGAAATTGAAGCCCCAAAAGTCAACGTCCTGGTCGGTCGATGAGGTCCACTCGTTACTCTCTTTAGGCCGAAGAAAGAATTCAAAGGTAACTCGACGGAACACGGCTAACAGAACGAGAAGGTTTTCAGGGAGATCGCCCAGCTCTTGATTTGTGACTAGTCTGTTGGAATCCTGGAAATAACTGGTTGTCTACATATCCTGTTGGATCAAAGCTCTCACTGTAATGTATTCACTTGTGTGAACATTTGATTGTCTGTTGTACACAGTGAGCTAAGCTATAACATCCTTCCTGTGCTAGTGTGCTGTAATTGCTCTTTCGCGTTTTGCCATTCTGTTTTGTGGTTGTACTTTTCGTCCTGAAGAGCAACTTCCTTGAATCAAAAATGGCAGAGAGCTAAAGCTTAAGCGGCCCCGTGAAAAATGACTTGATTTAATAGTGAGAGCGAGCCTGGGATTTGGAACTGTGACTATCAACAGTCATATGATCACATATTTGTTACTTCTGCACAAAGTAAGTTTACATTTACAATAGCTGTGAGCAAATGAATGATACATTCTAAAAAGATTTGTTTATGTCTAATTTCTTTGAGAAGATGGTTGAAAAGGTGTGGCGATCTACCGGTAGCTCCTACGGGCTGGAGACCCCTGATATGCAGTCTGAGGTTCAAATGCGGGGGAATGAGTGCCACTTTTTAGAGCTGTAAGAGATGCGAACAAAGAGGAGCTAATGGAAACAGCAGGTCAGTGCCAGATGAACCACTACCCAACGATTCACACCCTTCTGTGTATTACAAGTGTTAAGGGCATGTGGTGATGATCTTGTCTTCAATGACTTTTATTACTTTTCTATATATCTTTTCTATTTTTTAATAAAAATACACTTTGACCGTAGTTTGAGTTGATGAGCAGCTTGTCATGCGCCCCTATGTGTTGCGTCTGTGTGCCTTGTGCACAGCCCAGGCTGCTGCAACAAGTGTCCATTAGAATTCAGACTTGCGACCTTCTACACACGTTTTTTCACTCCAAAACAGGTGCAATTGTGCGTTAAGTTTTATGAAGGAAATCTCTAGTTATTTATCTTGAAATTGTCAGAACAAAAAATGCAGTACATCATTTTTCAGTAGATTTGTTGAGGGTGTTAAGAGCATTAGCTCTGTCAGTCTGCCTTGCAATGGCCACCCTATTGCATTGTTTAAAGGTGAGCATGTTTTTTTTTTTAAAGTTTGAAGAATATATAACTATCCTTTGGCCTGAGACAATACTCCATCCAGTCTAAAGGCACATGGAATTGTTCACATATCAGGCATACATCAGCAAGAAACATCAACTGTAATTATTATTGAAGATTTATCTTTATTATTCACTGTATTTCTGTCAATGTGTCGGGTGATTTCTTACACAGCCGTCTTGTAGTCAGAGACATTAGGTTCACTTCCCACAATTCCATAGGTGGAGACACCTTTTGGCCTATCAGTGCAACGGCACTCTTGTTAATTACAGTAGAGCAGTGGTTCTTAAACTTTTTACAGCAAGTACCATCTCAGAAAATACTTGCCTCTCCAAGTATCACCACATATGACCAACACTATACAGTAGCGTAGTAAGCCTAAGTATTGATCAAAACAAGGCAGAGGTTTCATTCCTAAAGAAGTATATTTAATATTGTCAGCAATTGTACCATTTTACACAACAGTAAGACTTGAATATATGAAGAAAAGAAAAAAAAAACTGTTCTTAAATAATGACTCAATTAAAATGTTCAATTCATTACGAACTGCAAAGTCTTGACTTACCACTATGAGTGGCCTTCTTTGTCCACCAGAAGGTTTGGACACTAGTGCACTTTTGTTTATAAGGCTATGCTTGGTCTGCTGCCTTCTTATATCTGCCATTTACTCACACGAAGAGATGTTGGTTCATTTGGTTTGGATCAAATTATTTTTTGTTGCTCTGTGTTTCTTTTGCACAGAACTGGGAAAAAAGCTTTTGTACATGCTGCTCTTTCGCTTTTGGATCCAGATTGAGAGCACTTGAGACATCTTTCCTTGAAATGTAGCTGTTTTTGTAATCCATAATTTTATTAAATGTAGGGGGCTGTTTTTATAATTTGTAATTGTATGTAACTTTTGTCCAGGACTCCCTTGAAAAAGAGGTTGTTTATCTCAATGGGACTTCCCTTGTTAAATAAAGGTTAAATCATGTTTTTATATATATATACAGTACAGACCAAAAGTTTGGACACACTTTCTCATTCAATTAGTGTCCTTTCTTTTCAGGACTATTGACTGTAGATTCACACCCAGGCTGTCTAAGGGCTATTCGTCCAATAAGGAGAGTGGTGGGTGCTGGGCCAGATGACCTGGCCTCCACAGTCACCAGACCTGAACCCAATCCAGATGGTTTTGGGGTGAGCTGAACCACAGAGTGAAGGTGAAAGGGCCAACAAGTGCTGGGAACTCCTTCAAGACTGTTGGAAGACCATTTCAGGTCACTACCTCTTGAAGCTCAACAAGAGAATGCCAAGAGTGTGCGAAGCAGTGATCAGAGCAAAAGGTGCTACTTTGAGGAACCTAGAATGTAAGACATATTTTCACTTTATTTTTGCATGTACATAATTCCACATGAGTTAATTTATGAGTTAATTCATAGTTTTGATGCCTTCAGTGTGAATCTACAATTTTGAAAATAAAAAGCTCTTTGAATGAGAAGGTGTGTCCAAACTTTTGGTCTGTACTGTACATTGCATGTATACAAATAAAATCTGTAAGAATCTTGCCATTTTGAGCAAAATAAAGTATCTGTTAAACTATAAGCTAAGGCAAACTTCATACTCTAAGTCTGGGGGGTCTCAAACATATGTCAATCTCATATGCCAATGTAAAACTGTAGAACTCTGTGATGAATTGAAAACATGTTCAAATATTATGCAATTTAAGTCTAAATGTAAACAAAAAACATGATCAAATCCTATGTTAAATGAAGAGATAAATAGTATTGCAATTGTATTTGTTAATGATATGAAGCCATCAATGTTTGTTGTCTTACTGTTCTAACATTGGGGTTTAAATAAGACTGTGTCTTCATCCTACTCCTGTTCTTTATGTGAATGTAATGTTATACAAGAACAAATAAAATAAATGAATGAATTGTGTTTGTGCCCTGAAGATGTCACCTGAAATCTGTTGGGGCTCAGTAGAGTCTGTTGAGTAATTTGTCATAATTAATAAAGTGGCTTGTTTTTTGTATTTTCTTACTTAGTAATCTTTATTTTTACAGCACATTTTCAAAACCTGGGGTACACAAAGCCAATCAATTGAGAACATTTAAGAATTTTAAGTATAAATTAACAGTTGTAAACCATGGAATCAAAAAGTCATCTCTCACAATGTGGTTGAGGAGAACTCACCTGCCTAACTATGTAGATACAAGGTTAAAATCTGAGCAGTGAAATGATTGAATGGCGGTAAATCTGGCAGCACTGTTGTACAACATTATATAAGCGTTTTGTTACACAATCGTGTGGTTTTCAGGTCAGTGGAGAGTGTGAAATGACAGGGCGTTTTTAGCCATATGATTTGCTCGTACATTTTGCGCTGTCATTCCCCCATGCAGACTCAAAGCTCTCACTGTGGAACAACCCCTGCTTGTCTCTGCTACACAAAACTTTCCTCATCCACCTCCAGCCCAATTAGTTCTGCCGCATAGCAGCACGCACCCTCCACTGGTAGAACATGCACCATGGTCACAACACGTCCCTGTGCACGCCTGCTGAGAAGGCATGGTGCATGCAAAAGCCGTTATTCTGACATGGCCTTCAGCTGCCTGCTTTTTAGACAAAGACTTTCTCTGCTGAAAATTATATTTTGTTTTAAATTGCTAATCGCTATGGCAGTGGTCTATAATTCTCATCATTGTTAAAGACATGAAAATAGGTCAATGAAAGAGAAAACTTACTTTGTCCATATCACCGCCGTGCGAAGGATTAGGGCCTGAGGAATGACAAAGCAGAAGCAGAAATGAAGCATGTTAACGAATGTGATATTATCAATATTACATACAGACAATGTGGTGGTGGTTTAGATGTGAGAATATTCAAGGCTAGCTTTTAGATCAGACAAAATGTTGTGAGATTTTAAACAGGTTAATCATGTTACAATATACTTTACTCATTAATTTTAGCTCTATCCCTAAGGCCGTCGGTCTCTGGTTGTTTCGTCCATTCATCATAAAATGTGTACTAGATTGATTTTTTTTAAATAATAGAAAAAAACAAGAAAGCATAGTTTGGTCTTTATTGTGGCTATAAAGCAGGAAAATTCTTCACAAGGTTAAGTGACACTCTCAAAACTAGAGTCATAGTTGCCTTGAGCTTTATATGTTTTGCATACAGTTGAAATGTTGTAAGTTGTTCAAATGTAACCATCAGGCAACCAATCAATTGATCAGGTAAATATTTATTTTAGTTGAACATCTACAGTAATATCAATCAATCAATCAATCAACGTTTATTTGTAGAACGCCTTTCCTACACAAGATTAAAGATAAAATCAAAGATACAATCATTCAGTTGTATGCACAGCTTAACAGAACTGTATCAGGAGCTTCTGGAACAAATGAGCACAAACATTTGAACATTTATGAATTTGCCTCCCTGAGGACCATGGATGAAAACTAGCTTTGCAGATCTGGCATAATTACATTTGTTCTATACTGATGTTCATTAATGTACATTGTCAAATAAATAAATAAAGAAACTTCTTGAGAACTAAGATCTCATTGACGGTGCTGTGTTCCGTCAATGAAAACAAAAAGACACTCTAAATACATTTTGGAATTCTTTCAGTCAATTTAAGTTCCTTTCAACTGTGTGCCCTCAATTATACATTTACATGTTAGCTGTTGAATTATAGATACGTAATTAATGTAATGTGGGGAACTTGAACTTAATCAGGAGGCAGACATTACAGACAATAACATAACGTGTGACATCATCAATAGTATAAAAAAACATATTTTTACTAATAATTTACTTTGAAAGTAATATAAGATAAGATAAGATAAACCTTTATTCGTCTCACAGTGGAGTGATTCCCACTGATGTCTGCTGTCGTTGTGTCCTTGGGCAAGACACTTAACCCCACTTTGCCTGAAGCCCCTGCTGAAAAACCAAGGCTATGCCATAGAGCAGCCATGCTCCTGTGGACTCACCACCTGCTGGAGGATCAGTGAGGGGCTTGTGCTGTGTGTACCGAGTGGCATCTCTGGCCACCCCCCTGACCCAGAAATGGATTAAAGGGAAGAAAATTGATGATTTTTATTTATTTTTAGGTTTCACCAATACAAAAGCAGAATATAATTCCCACTTCTACCACCGGATGGGAGTTTTTCTCCTCCTGATCATGTCTAATTCCATTTAACTGCATATATTGTTTCTGCATTTTTAACCCGTGTGCCTTGGCACATTAGAGTGTCTTGAGGAGTTGCTGTGAAAACAAGATAATGTGAAATGATTAGAAAGACTTTTATGCGCTTCTATTGATTTTCTATATTTTATATTGTAATTTGATGAGAATGCATTGGCTTTGCACTGTTACCAAAGGCTGTATATATATATTTTTTAATCAATATTAGCTGGTGGTGAAAAAGGTGTGCCGCAGCTCAAGAAGATTGGGGGACACTATATTATTTCATATTCTAAAACATGTTCTTGTAGTCTATCTCATGTAGGAGCCAAAAATTACACAAAAATTGCATCAGATTTGTTGCTTATAATAATTTATGGGCCATTTGAACGAAGAGTTTCAAGATAAACTGAACATCGCATTGTCAGAGTTTGAACAGTAGGTGGAGATGACTGCAAGTTAAGGATCAAGCTGTCAGCCAGCAATACACACTGAGGTATGCACATGTGAGGCAAGAAACTGACAGTTTAGAAGAAGTTTGTAATGTGTATTAGAGTATGAGGCCTGGCTCTGTACATAGTCGCTGTGCAAACACACATTCACACATCATGCATTTTTTTTTCTATTTCATTTAGAACAGACCTTCATTATTTAATTACAGCCATTTCAAGCAACAAAACTTGAACACGTTTGAAAACAAACATATATTCCCCCATCCATCAATCCATCTTGCATTAGTTAATTGTTAGTTTAGATATATGTGCAATTTAAATAAAATGTCAATCAATGTTTTTTGTGGGTTTTTTTTGATGGTGTTCATAAAATCAGAACATTAATCTGATGCAGCATGTATTCTAAACTTGAATCCTGGAGGCTGTGCACAAAGAACAAATAGTAACATATACAAATATTATCATTAAAATGAAATAAAATGAGCTGTAATAGGCTTGGATTATCAAAGTGCTCAACCGAAGTCATAAGTAGTAAGAATGTGGTGGTAAACTACAACTGCCACAGCTACCCTGGGGCAGACAGACTCAAGAGAGGCCCATCTGCACCAGCAGCCCTTCTCACCATTACCACAACACCATCACTCACATCACACAGACTGTGGAACATTAATGTTGTACTTGTAATAGAGACTTTACATTTAGACAATGACCTGTACAAACACTAGGGCTTTAGTCAACTAACACCTTTATTATTGGCATTAGATCTTTGTCCACTGTTACATCAAATGTAATCATATTTGATAATTGACCTTTAACAGGATTAATCAGACATTAAAATATTTATATACATGTCAAAATAGAAGAAACAATTTAATCAGTAATGTCACTGTAATACTTTGTACATTTTGTCAATCTATTTAGTTCAAAGTGTGTTTAATATCTCAAGGTATAAATGAAAATAGTTTAAACAGTTGTCATACTTACAAATATTGCTTCCCTGTTAGCTGATACGCTAGACATTATCTCAGCCCTATAATTTTTAAATCAACTATTACTATCCATTGACCATAGAATGTGCATGCATACCCTGCATCAAAATTCAGCAAAATATCTTCCTCTTGAAACCTTCTAATTTGTACCGTAGTGACATCAAATTGGAATAATTTGACATTGCAAACATCATTTTAATTCCTACCTTGTCTCATAGAAGGTCAATTGTAAAGCACAGGGAAAGATAAGGATGGATATATTGCTGCTGAATTCAGATGCAACCACAGACAATAGCCTGCCCGTGGTTTCAGGATGATGAACACTGTTGCCATAGTAATTGACATTAGGTTAGTTTCTTTTCATTCTTTTCATGAAAATACATGACACAAATGGGAAATGTTTCCCTCAAAATGTTGCTCAGTCGCTCAAGAGAGCTACTTTATCAACACTGAAATGGAAGAAGGCATCTGAGAGAATGTCTGTCCATATAATATGGATCTGTTACATGCACTTAAAACTATTTATTGTTCATGTATTTGTGTCCAAAGTGAAAATATGCATTTGACCTCTGAACAAGCCCACTGTGCACATGCAGATGCAAAGCCATGACATGTAAATTGCAATCTGTAAACACCAGAGGCTAAGGCCTTTCACAGACTATCCAGACACCACACATGCATCTATCGGCTTACCTGCCGGGTGCGGTCTGTCGGTGGGCACTGTGCGGCTGCTTTTGGCACACACCCCTCTCCCCTGGAGCAGAGCCTGGAGCGGGCTGTGGTCTCTGGGAGGAGGCATGCAGCGGAGGCCTCTGGCACAGCTCAGCGTATAGACCCCGCACGGCTCTCCCAGGGCCAGGGCTGTGGTGCTGCCGGCCGAATGGTGCTCCCTGCCTGGGTCTCTGCATGATGGGCACGGCTTGAACGGGCCCAAGCGACTGGCCCCGCAGTGAGCCAGCAGCAGGAGGAATGAAGCAGCGGTGATGGGAGACATGCTGATGGAGGAAAACGAATGCTATTTCTGGATCTTCTCTCGTCGCTCCACGCCGTCCGTCCTCTGGTTCAGTTCTTTCCCTCGGTGCCCTGCGGAGAGAGGATATGCAGAGGCGGACACGGCAGCACCAGCTTTTAAAGATGTGAATGGGCGAGAGAGGGAGCAGATAGAGTGAGGGAGTGAGGGAGGAGAGGCAGAGGGAGGTGGCACACATTTACTAGTCTCCTCCTGTCTTATGCATTTATATACTATTGATTTTCAAGGAGACAATTGCATTTATAATACCACCCTAAACATCAGGAATATGTGTTGTATTCTTTTAACAGAAGAAGAGGTTGCAGCCAAAGCCTTTCCCCAGTCCAATGACGCTCTGTGCATCACGGAGAACTCATGAGCTGTCACACCTCTGGGGGGATGTAAAACGTTACAAATGTTATAAGGACTTTGAAAGACTTTTAAAATAATACAATTTCTTCCAAACAATTTTTTCCAATGTTTTTATTTTACAACTTGTCCCTTGAATCATTGTGCAATGTATATTGCTATATATAATTCAAAAAGCTGAATGTAATTCCACACAGAATGGAATTTAAATGTTACATTCATAAAAAAATGCTTTTTACTGTTACACTAAAATAATGTTAATGCATTTGAATGCAGGTAGTCAGTATTCTGTTTCCACCCCTATGGGTAGATTACATTAGCTTGTTAGTGTGACCATAACTGGAAAAGTGGTAATGAGGCACAGAAGCTGGGAACTCAAAGCAAACAAACACATTATTTTACAAACACAGCATCATAAACGCTATCTTCATCATGCCCATGTAAGAAACACACAGACTTTCCTATCGACACACACTTCCTCCAGCTCATCCGGGGGGGAATCCCCTTGGCCAGCTGAAAGACATGCGTGTTCTGGTTCTTCCCCAGGGTCTCCTCCTGGTGAGACATCCCCTTGACACCCCAAAGCTCTGATGGCAGATGCCGCTCCCTCTTTACACAACAATCCAATACGCATTACTGCACATGCTGCACCAATCCGACTGTCAATCTCCTGATGCACACCTTACATAATTAAGGCAAAGCAAAACAAAAGCACGTAAAGTTGTTAATTACTTACTATTCTCTACAGATTCCAGAAGCAGCTCAACCCGGTGGCATGGTAGCAGAGTGGTCAGCACTCTCGCTTCTCAGGTTCAAATTCAGCCCAGGGTGGAGTTTGTATTATCTTTTCCCCGGCGCTCCAGTTTTACCTACCACTACCTCCAGCTTTGGTAGTTCTGACCAAGCTGAATGGGACACAAAAAGGAAGATTAATTACTTATTCACAAAACAAACTATACAGCTTTATGGACAACACATGGAATCAGCACAACTTAGGAGGTTAGCAATCATTCAAACACCAAAATAAACTAAAATGAAATTATTACTTCATACATATTTTAATTGCACTTCAGTGGATTATAACCAAGAATCAAAATCGATACTGTGAGCAATCTTTTATTTCCACAAACCTGACTCGGTGTTCCTCATTCTTGTTTTCATGCTAATAGTGTTTTGGTCGTGATCTTCCACAGCATCAAACTAATCTCAGTGGAGGAACTTTTTATGTGGGAAGATTCACTTCCATTCCATATATTTTTGTATATACAACAGATTAGAGAATTAAACGTCAGGTGCCGGTAAGAGAGGCCGGGTTCAGATGTTCTATCAAAACGCCATGAATATATATATATATATCCCTTCATCAAGCCAACATGGCTCCAGAGGAGCCAAGTCATCTTTTATAAGATGCAATACTGACAATTCACACCCACATCACTAATTTCTACTTTCAAATTAGATTATCCAGACCAGATTGGACTTTACCATAAAACTGAACTATTATTTTCAAAATCCCAAAGAAATGCTGCATATTACAAAATAACTTGACTGAATGCAACAATAACGTAACATCGTATGCTATAATCACAAGTGTGTTAAAAACATAAACCACAGTTCATCACAAGGAAATGTCTATTGTATTATTTTAGTGTGTTCATATGAAAGTTATTATTATAGATCCATGGAAAGACAACACATTTTTGAAAGAATTGAATGAGGGAGAAAAATGACGCACTGCTTTGCAAGACGTCATCGAAAAGCGCCGAGCTCCGGTTTTCCAAAGTTTCAGAAGCAGCTATGGGCCGATAATTCCCCACAGCATAGCCAGTGTCGTTTCCAGTCGCATTTAAATAACAGGTGAGTAGACTGAGTGTGTGGATGAACGAGTGGAGATCTCCAGAAGCACATGAAGGCGTTTGTTTACAGACATATGTGACGATAGAGCGGGGATGCTAGCTAGTTAGCCACAGAGCAGTCCACTTCCTCGGCAGATGTCCAACATGTTGACGTTGTTTACCTGTCGCGTTGTTTTACACAAATAAGCCATACACGCCGAGTTCAAAGTTATTTGTAGCTACAAGTGTCGAGTAAGATAATGAGGAGGACTCGAGCATCACTGACACCACCTGCATGTTGTTGATGTTGCAAATGAACCAAATGTTGTCAAAGAAATACTAACCTCGAGTTTGAGTTAGTGTTCTATCACAGTTCTCTCTTTGACTGCCGCTAATCTGTCCAGCTTTAACACAAGTCAATCTTTAGTAATGAAATATGATTTGGAAATACTAATGACCTTATATAGTAAACGATACAATACAATACAATACAACATAGTCTATGAACTATTCACCAACAATAAAGAAAGAGTATATAGTTACTTCATTGCTGCCCTACATCTTGTATTACGCTGATACTGTAAATAATTCTCCAGCATTTTAGTTTATGCCTTATAATGGACCCAACAAAGTCAGTGTAAAAGTACCCTCTCATTTGTCTCTATTCTTTCATCCAGTCACAAACTGACACATGTCACAGTGGCAGGAAATAAATAAATGGTTGACTTAATGTAATTCTATTTGTGTTTCAACATTTTTATCCCTGAATCAGTAGGGGCTATGGAACGGCTGAATTATTGCTTTGCTAATTGCATCGTTCAATGTTGAATGCTGTTGTTGAGACACACTGTAAGTAACAGGAAGTCATAGACTAGGAAATTCCTTTGGCTCTCGGTGCAAACAAGTCAAAAGTAGAGAATAGAATCATTCTAAAGTATAAATATTTCTAAACAATAAAAATAAAAAGTCAAGACACTTACCCCACATTGCCTTGTATGAGTATATTTTGTGTGTGTATGTGTGAATGATTTGTGGCACAGATTAGATGCCTCGCTTCAGTCAGTCTCTCCCAGGACAGTTGTGGCTAGATTAGGAGTTTACCACCATAGTGTATGGGTTGATAAATAATGCCATGTCTTTGAGTGTAAAGAGCTATATAATTTGAACTATGTGTTATAATTATATTATGATATTTGAGATTTTTTGGTTTTAGCAGATTTTTCCTAATTAGGAAGTTGCCTCCACTCAGCCAACAACTAAACCCAATATAGACATTTTGTATCTTCTTAAGCTCAGAATCTACAGAATTCATACAACCCATAGATAATATAACTAACTGACTGTAAAAAGTCCAAACTTTGGAGGGGCAGGTCCAGATCTGGTTTCATTAAGACTTCACAACAGTTAACTTCCCACCAGATAGTGCACATATGTGGAGTATGATCTGGTGCAGGGAGGCTCAATACATCAATCACAATCTACTGGTTGATTGCAATCAGCCGGTCATTCGCAAAGTAGGGTGGGAAGGTTGCATGACATCCGAGTTCACATGTGACATGTAGGGGTGTGACATCGCGATACTATGCATTTGCCAAGTATCAATATCAAAAAATTTATTTTTTTTGTTTGTTTTTATTTTTACAAATATTTTTTTTAAATTGGTATCAATATTTAATATATGGCTACATTACGCATCTCCATTCCATTTATCATGAAATAAAGTTATTTTTTTCTGTTATTTATGCCATAAGTTGGCATATTGTATATTTCTGACCAATATATCAATAATCGTGATATCGTGATAAAATTGTTATTGTGATATCGTTATCGTGATATTATTGTTATTGTGAGCTTTGTATCGTATTGTATCATGAGGTACCCTTAGGTTCCCACCCCTAGTGACATGTACAGTGTTTACACGTGTTTCATTGCACCAACATGAAAAGTATGAAGACAGCGGCATCCACTCGCACGCCACACACACAGAAAACAGCAATGTGCAAGATATAAGCCTTTCAAATGTCTGCAAACGTGACTGCGTGATTTGACAACGCATCCTCAAAAGAAAGAACATAATGGTCAAAGTTGACAGTAGTAAACTAGGTGTGAGTGTTTGTGACAGATAATACGGGCACTAAGCAGTTATGTGACATTTGTAATAAGATGATAGATGATATAAAAACTACACAAGAAACTCCTTGTGGGCGACAGTAGCTCAGTTGGTAGAGCATTGGCCTTTGAGCCAGAAGGTCGTGGGTTCAACCCCACCTTAATGGTGCTTTCAGACCGCCAACGCTGAAACGCGGAAGCCCCGCTCACCAGACGTGCATTCTCTAGTTTTCAGACGCAGAGGACTTCACACCTGAACGTCCTGACGCGAGCCGGAAGTACCGGAAGTAGCCGGCCGGCTCTAATGCTAACAGAGCTATGCTAGCGGCTTCTTGTGTATATATCTTCTCCAATATGCAGCTTTGCAACGTGTCTTTGCTCACAGACATTCCACGGGCTTTATATAACAGTAATATGTGTTCACGCAGGTGCCCCATACGTTTTTTCATATTATTAAACGGAATTTCCGCATCGACGAACACACACGAAGCAGTTGCATAAGGTCACGGGAGCATGACAACGCATATTTTCATAAGCACAGAGTCCCCCATTGTCAACCCTGGTTTGAGTTCTGGTGAAGTCTGGTGTGGGTCCTGTTTTGGCTGTTTATGAGTATTTTCAGTCTGCTCGCTCAGTCCGCTAATATCCCCGTGACCACTTTGCTGCTCTCTGATTGGTTGTCGCACGAACGTCCCAAGGAAAGGATGAGCAGAATCCATCTCCTGTGGGCGTTGATTTTTCGCTCATGCTTCTCCCTTTTCACTTTCCCGCCAAGTCCGTGCGTCATTATTGAACAGTCCGTTCGTGCGTGCCGAGAGGTCCGTGCGTTGTGACGGTCGAACGCGCGCCACCATAGACTTTGCATTGAAACCCGACGCAACTCATGATCCGGTCTGAAAGCCCCATAAGACTTTCACCATCGACTCCCACTGTCTGCTGTCGTTGTGTCCTTGGCAAGACACTTAACCTCTGGGTACACCAGGTGCCATAGTGGGGCGGGTGCGGCTGTAAAGTGCCAAACTGCCCTTTTGTCCTTAGGCAAGGCACTTGACCCCCATTGCCTAGAATGAGTCTGGTGTGTGTATGAATGGTTGGTGGTGGTCGGAGGGGCCGTTGGCACATACTGGTTGCCTCGCTTCTGACAGTGTGACCCTGGGTAGCTATGGCTACAGTAGTAGTTTATCACCACAGTGTATGGAGTGAAAGAATAATGACATGTAAAGCGTCTTTGAGTGTCCAAAAAAGCACTATATAAAACCAATGCATTAATATTATTATTATTATTCTCTACATTTACAACATGAAAAAACACTACACAAGAACATACTGTACATTTCATGGCAGATATGGCAGAAGTTTATGTTAAAACTGGGCATTTAAGCCTAGCCCATAAGTATTTATTATACAATAGGGGTGGGAACCTAAGGGTACCTCACGATACGATACGATGCACGATACAAAGCTCACGATAACAATTTTATCACGATAACGATATTATCACAATAACGATATTATCACGATAACGATATCCCAATAACAATTTTATCACGATATGACGATTATCTATATATATATATATATATATATATATTAGTGCTGTCCAACGATTAAAATATTTAATCGCGATTAATCGCATGAATTTCATAGTTAACTCGCGATTAATCCCAAATTAGTCACACATTTGTATCTATTCTTTATGTCCCTTGAATTATCATTTTAATACTACTAAAAAGTGAATAGGCGTGCTGTGGCAATTGCTTTTTTAAAATATTTTGTAAATTTGTTCATGTAAATACTCTATGCTGTTTCTCTGTTTACTTTCGGTATATCTATGACTGTATACTGTTTGCTTGTATTGCCTTTTTTATTAACCCCTCCCCCCCATCTCCCACTTCATGTCCCCCCCCCCCCCCCCTCCTATGTGCCCTTCTGGGTTTCTTCTTTGGCCCCCTGTATCTCCAACTACATATTGTTTGTAATCTCTGTCTACAATGTATCTGAACTAGTCCTTTTTTTAAATTTTGTTTTATCGCTCAATAAAAAAAATGACGCCGTTAATATTGATTTGCGTTAACGCGTTAATAACGCAATATTTTGGACAGCACTATATATATATATATATATATATATATATATATATATATATATATATATATATATATTAATGTGTAAGAAAATTGAGGGGGGGATATCCCCCCCTATGGCCATGGCTAGGGGGGGACTGGTGCCCCCCATCCCCCCCTCTGGAGGAAACCCTGTGTATATATATATATATATATATATACAGTATATAAATAAAATAAAAAAATACACTTTATTTCATTATAAATGGAATGGAGATGCGTAATGTTGCCATATATTTGGTATTGATACCAATTAAAATCGATAGAATCGATATCGATATATCGTCACACCCCTATTATACAACATGATTATTACTTGATAATGAATCACATATAGGGCTGTCGCAATAAATGTTATCGCGTCGTAACAAAAAATTTGGTCAGCTCTTGAGCATCTCATAGCCTGAAACTCACACCAGCTGCTTTGGACTCCACTGCATATGGGAGAGATGCTGAGAGACGCATTGATTATGTCTTTGGAGTACTTAGCTTTCCTTCGCTATTGAGACATTACTTTGGAAGTTGGTTGTGCATCACTAGTTATTGTCAGTGAGAAAGGCAGACAGTAGTACCATTTATTCTTTTGTTTATTTTAAGTGTGTGAGTTTGCCCAGCTGCAGATGGATGACCCCAGCCTCCTGCAGCTCAGATGTCTCCTGAACCTCAGACGTGGGCTCCGTGATGTGGAAGCGCGACCACAGGAGGTCTGCACTGGGCTGCGCAAGGATGGGGACACACTCAGGTCTGGATGCCAAGGCTGCAGTGGGATAAATTGGCCCTCATTTATGAAACTTGCGTACGGCCAAATCAGGGTGTAAATGAGGCGTACGCAAAAAAATTACACTTTTCCGCATTTATCAATCTGGACGTGAGCGTACAATACGCAAAAAATATACACCAAGTCAGGAAGTGGTGTAACGCCAAAACACGCGTGAAATTCAAGATTTGGACAACAATTACCATATTCACACTCTGGCAACATTATAAGCTGTGTTTTCATTGAGCATCATGTTTCAAACTTTGAATTTGCGCATCAGAAAAACTCTAATGGAAACACGCAAACTTCGAATAAATCACAGATCATGATGAGGACCCTCTTCTGTTTCTTTGATTTTAAATCTGACTTGTGTGTATTATTTTCATCTGTATGTTTTTTAAATGTGAAGCGCTTTGTGATCCTGGTCTAGGAAAGGCGCTATACAAATACACTTGAGTGACCAACTCCGTGACACTGCATGCGCTGCGTAATTACGCATTGGTTTTTCCTCATTCACCTCTGGCAAAGCAATGTGTTTTTGCAGCGATGGTCTGACTCAAAACTTTCTCAGAAACTGATAGGATGCAACACACTTATGTAGGAAGGGGCTCACGGCCAGTGGCTCTGGGCAGCAGGTGCCAGGAGAGGTCCCACCGCATCGCTGCTCAAATCCAGACATTCCCTGTGAAATCACGGACGCTGAGGCGGAGATATTAATATTCATTCATTAATTCACTCACTTTATATATATATAATATATATATATATATATATATATATATATATATATATATTAGGGCTGTCAAAATTATCGCGTTAACGCAAATTAATTAATTTTTTTCATTAATCGCGTTAAAGAAATTAACGCATTTGACGCATTCCCATGTGCCCCATGATAACACTCAGAATGCCGCGGACACATGCGTGTGTAAGATGGGGACAGAGCAGAGATTCCTCTGGGAATTCAAGTTTTGAAAGAATACACGCGTGACCGCGGGGCACTTGTTGTTTCCTGTATGAACTCTGCATGATGAGCTGCGGGCGCGACAGCGCTCTGGACAGCAGCACCACTTCCAGCGGCTGTGATCACGGCGAATGGTGCTTTCAGACCGGATCATGCGTTGCGTCGGGTTTCAATGCAAAGTCTATGGTGGCGCGCGTTCGCCCGTCACAACGCACGGACCTCTCGGCACGCATGAACGGACTGTTCAATAATGACGCACGGACTTGGCGGGAAAGTGAAAAGGGAGGAGCAGGAGCGAAAAAACAACGCCCACAGGAGATGGATTCTGCTCATCCTTTCCTTGGTACGTTCGTGCAACAACCAATCAGAGAGCAGCAAAGTGGTCACGGGGACATTAGCGGACTGAGCGAGTAGACTGAAAATACCCACAGGACCCACACCAGGCTTCACCAGAACTCAAACCAGGGTTGACAATGGGGGACTGTGTGCTTGTGAATATATGCGTTGTCATGCTCCCGTGACCTTATGCAACGGCTTCGAGTGTGTTCACTGATGCGGAAATTCCGTTTAATAATATGAAAAAACGTATGGCGCACCTCCGTGAACACGTATTACTGTTATATAAAGCCCGTGGAATGTATGTGAGCAAAGACACGCTGCAAAGCTGCATATTGGAGAAGATATATACACAAGAAGCCGCTAGCATAGCTCTGTTAGCATTAGAGCCGGCCGGCTACTTCCGGTACTTCCGGCTCGCGTCAGGACGTTCTGGTGTGAAGTTGCGTCTGAAAACTAGAGAATGCGCGTCTGGTGAGCGGGGCTTCCGCGTTTCAGCGTTGGCGGTCTGAAAGCACCATTAGGCTGCGGTCACGTGCACAGCCTAAAGTCCGGTTAAAGTGTGCCTGGGCCCACTTCGCGATTAGATCCGGGCTTTAGGTGATATGTGACCACGGCAACTGGGCTTTGGCACGGTTGCTGCAAGTGAGCCTGAGCACGGTTCCAAAGCACAGATGAGGGGGGTCACTGTGGCGGGTGGTGGGGAGTGGGGGATGAGGTGTGGTGGGGACTTGATATTGTGCGTCACATTACGTCTTCCGTTGTGACGCGCATTTTCACAGTCTTTCCCTGCACTTTTTTATTCTCCGTGCTTGTGTTAAACCTTTCATATAAGCCTCCGGACTGTGGTTGAGGGGCGCTGGGGAGTGTGTCGCTCCAGAGCCAAAGGGAAGCGTTTTCTACGGGAATAACTCCCTCTGTTCTGACCCTCGCTCTCACAGTGTGGTGCTATTGCAATAACACTTCAGACATTCAAGACTCAGTCTTTATTTAATCCCCAGAACACACCAACACAGTTGTATCCTGCCTGGCTCCGGTCGTTCTGCTCCTACGGCAAACTTTTCAGTATTTAACCCTATGAACCCGTCTGCATCGGCGCCGATGCATGCGCACATGTTTTACAAATGATCAATGTACTCGCGAACGGTAAAACGTAGCAACTTACGTTTGTCTGAAAGTCCGTGTCCAAAGCGTGACCCGTGAGGTACAAACTAGAGCTGCAACTAACAATTATTTTGTAATCGATTAATCTATCGATTATTTTTACGATTAATCGAGTAATCGCTTGGCTGTGAATTGTGTAGAAATTTTTTATTTTTTCATCACAAAAAGCTAAAGTGGCAACACTCGAGGACGTATTGATGGCGTAAACTTAAAGTAAATGTTTGTAACAGGCTCTTTGTGCTAATTCTGCTATCTGATTGGATGAGACAGACAGATATTCATGAAATTATAAAAACAAGTCGGTTTTAATCAAAAATACTAAATTTTCATGTCATTTTTGCTCTGTTTGAGTCCGTGTGAACCAGAAAACGATTAATCGATTACTAAAATAGTTGTCGACTATTTCAATAATCGATTAGTCGTCGATTAATCGATTAGTTGTTTCAGCCCTAGTACAAACAGCTGTGAGATACAAACACACGGGGACTGCCAAAGATCGTCAGAGAGTGAGATGTCTCACTCCTCTGTGTGTACTTGTTCTCCCCTGTTGAAACTACAGCTGCGATTGCAATAACCGGCTGAAGAGTGCGCATTATTGATAAAGACGATGATAAATACAGTAAAATGACATTATGTGTATATGATGTATATAAATATATGTATTATATAAATAATTGATGTTTATTTTTTTTTTGGCTCAGTTTTATGTTTTACGTTTTTTACAGCTGTGCTACAGAAGCAACCCCAGCATTAGAGACAAATTGCTTCAGGAAGGGCATCAGGAGTACAGAGTTTTTTGCTTTTATAGTGGAATTTTGTAAAAAGTATAATAGTTAGAGATTCAATTTTTTTCCCCATTATCCCCAAGTCCCTAAATAACATTTCTATCCAGTGTAAAATTTCATTGTGTTTTTTCAATACATTTTTGTTAAATTGATTTTCCGTTTGATTTTTCTCTTTATCTTCATGATTCCATATTTTTTATATAATTCATATGACAGCTTTACAATATGAATATTCTAAAACCCCAGGTTGTACTGAAAAAAACAAAGTATACTGCTTGACTCTGCATCAAAAGATGACTGTTTTATGAACAATTATACACAAAGAAAACCAGGCGAGGAAAGTTCCCCAAAATGACCCATGTGCATAGTTAATTCTCATTCATTCATTTCTCAGCACTCTTAAGCCGCGTTCAGACCGGATCACGCAAAGTCAATGGTGACCCGCGTTCGAGCGTGGAACTGCATGTGCATCTCGGGATGCACGCACGGACTGCGTGGTAGAGACGTGCGGACTGCTCGGTAAAGGCGCAGCAGAGGCGCAGGAGCAAAAAATCGACGCACGCAGGAGATGGATATTGCAGACCGTTTCCTCAGGACGCTCGTGCAGTGACCAATCAGAGAGCGGCAAAGTGGTCATGGGGACTTTAGCGGTCTGAACGAGCAGACTGAACATACTCTTAAACAGCCAAAACAGGAGCTAGACCCCGCTCCGATCTCTGTGTGGAGTGAGAGGTGCCCCAAGTGCCGCAAAAATAACAATTGTAAACCACTTTGTGACTCTGGTCTGTGAAAGGTTGTATATAAATAAAGATTACTTACTTACTTACTTACTTAGACCAGGACTAAACCAGGGTTGACAATGGGGGACAGTGCTTGTGAACATATGCGTTTTCATGCTCCCGTGACTTTATGCAACTGCTTTGAGCGTGCTTGCCGATGCGGAATTACCGTTTTAATAATAAAATAAACGTATGCCTTGAACACGTACTGTGAACACATACTGCTGTTGTATGAAGTCTCTGGACACAGAGACGCTGCAGAGCTGCATTATTGGAGAAGAACTTCACACAAAAAGCCGCTAGCTTAACTCTGTTAGCATCAAAGTCCACCCGCTACTTACGCCACTTCCGGAGGGGGGCACCACCCCTGCATCTGAAAATTAGAGAATGTGTGTCTGGTGCGCGAGGCGTCAGCGTTCCCGCGTTGGTGGTGTGAACTTACCCTTACGCTCGTTAGTAAAGTGGCACGCCCCCGTGTCCATGGCGTACACACACGTTACCCACTGAACTGATTCACTTTACATCAGAGGAATGTGGACAAGTGTGAGATGTGTCTTTCCCTAAACAACGCGATCCGTACTTGTGTAAACAGGAATGTAAACAGGAAGAGAAACTGAAACTTAACCAGGACAACAAGGTAGTCGCTGGAGTTAGTATTAGCGCCACCAGCTGGACCGAGTGTTGTACTACAGCACAGTTGCTCTGGCACGTTTGTGAATACACGTTCATGTGACCGCGGGCCGTTTTCACACCCCTGTGGCGACAATCCGGGCCACTTGGCCTGGTTCATTTGTAAAAACCTATGTGACCGTGCCCATATTATTAAAACTGTTTCATTATGGATTTGTCTTTTACGTTTGTCCATAAAAGTAATTTTCAATAAACCATTCCAGTAAGTTTTGTTTTGGTCCTTTGCCAAGAATGGCAATGTGGTTCACTTAATAGTTAATACAGACACCAGCAAGTTTCTATTACTGTAAAAAGCAATGAAAGGGATGTTGACTTCACCCCAGCTTGACCTGGTGTTAAAATATGTAACAATTCATTTGGGTGGTCTTTTATTTTACATAATGTAACTTTTTTCTTTCCAGTTACCAAGGGAACTCTGAAGAAGTCGGTTGCTATGTGGCTGGTGTCCCATTGTCTAAGGAAAATTTCTATTTTGAGGTAAACAATGTTTTTTCTTGCAGCTGGAGGGTTAGCTGCAATGCTAACCCTTCAGCTGCAAAGACAGCTGGAATGCTAAAGGGGACACATTATGGAAAATGGTCTTTTTAGGCCCGAGTCCCGAACGGGGAAAGGGCCTATTGTTTTTGCTCGAGAGATGTCAAATTCTGCACTTTGAGCCTTAATTTCACCGCCTGAACATGCATGAAAAGTTGTAAAATTTTGCCCAAACATCAGACCTGGTGAAAAATTTGATATTTTGGTGTTTATTTTTATGGGACTCAAAAAATGCCAGAACAGCGCCACCTACAACAGCCAATGGGAGTTTCATAGGCCAAGTTTGTTGTAGAGCCATGAAATTCGGTACACATGTTCCTCAGGTCAAGATACGACCAAAATGTTATCATGGCTCCGCCCTCTGACAAACGGGAAGCCCATAAATTTCACTGCTAAATGGAAAAATGATCCGCAATCATTTTCATACATGTCGGTTGGAAAGCAACTCCTCCTCGGCCGTTTCACCGATTTTCCTCAAAATTGCTCCACATCATTTCAACACATGTACCTTCAAAATGACCTCAGGGATTTTTGATCAGTGAAAAGTTGTTTGAGCAGCTGAGCGGGAAAATGTGAGTGTTTTTTGGCCGTTTTTGACAACATTAATTTTGCTCCCGTTTGCACAAACAAAGTCTGATTTGCACAAAACTTGAATCCAATGTTCAACTCCAGAGTTTAGGTCAGGTGAAAGTGAAATATTTGAAATTGGCCCATTAGCGCCCCCTACAGATTGAGGCAAAGTTTTACAAGGGGTGCCAAACAGCTCTAATCATCATATTCATTACAATTTGACTAACGTTCTTCTATGGCTACAGCAACAAATCATCACACGGCGGCCCCACCTCCTTTGCGCAGTGCTGCGTGGTACGGTGTGGTGCGGCGTACTGCGGGGCGTTGTGGAGCGGCGCGTTGCGGCTTGGTGCGGGGCGGCATGGTGCAGATCCACTTGGTGCGGGGCGGCTTGGTGCGGGGCGGCTTGGTGCGGGGCGGCTTGGTGCGGGGCGGCGTGGTGCGGGGCGGCGTGGTGCGGGGCGGCGTGGTGCGGGGCGGCGTGGTGCGGGGCGGCGTGGTGCGGGGCGGCTTAATGCGGGACGGCTTGGTGCGGGGCGGCTTGATGTGGGGCGGCTTGGTTTGGAGCAGCTTGATGCGGGGCGGCTTGGTGCTGGGCGGCTTGGTGCTGGGCGGCTTGGTGCTGGGCGGCTTGGTGCGGGGTGGTGCACGCGGTGCGGGGTGGGCCGTTCGACGCCGCTTGCGGCTTTAATTTGAGTTTCTAACCATGCTCCAACATGGTTCCCTCATCATAAACAGACTTTAACTATTCACATTAATTTAAGGATATCCTAGCTCAAACACCTTCGGTCTTTTCAATTGAAACTCGTTATACTCAATACTCACTATGACGTCAGTGACAGATTCTGTTTTCCCACCATTATAAAAGCATGTTTCCCCAGTAAAATTGCGTTTTTCCTTTAATACCCCGACATGTGAAGGTCAAAACTTGCTGACACCATTGCTTTGGAGTCTTTGCATTATAAAAAATAACTATACAAATGTGCCTACAACCCACGTATGAAAGATATATTTCATATCTGCGGGGCGCGCACCCTTAGACTTTCTATATATTATATATTTTATATTTTATCATTCATTGACCAAGCAAAGTATGAAATGCCAAAATGCATATCCTCAATCATGTTGCATGTATTTGCATATTATTTGTTTTTTAAACATAAAACATCATGCACATTTGATAACTTGTTTTCTTTTTCTTTTTTTTAGCTTCATACAACCTTGTGTTGGTAATATTCTATATTTGGCATGTACAATTGTATCAGGAATTAAACTAATTTTGTATTTATTGCCACTGAGTTAAATCCAAGTTGTTTAAATGGTTACGTGTTTGGAGCCATGTAATAGGAAAACAAAAGTCCTAAATTTTTGCCACATACCTGAGGCCTAATACGCACCTAATACGATAGTGCAGTCCATCAGCTCTCTTGACCCTGACAGTGCTAGTCTGTTGCTTGATTCATTTCACATTTGTCTTATAAACTGAGCTGTCCACATTGGGATCTGACATTTTAAAGAGCAGAGCTGGATTCACGGGTTGATATTGTGACGTACATGCTGCTGTCTGGAGTTTTTGCTTCTCCAAAGGTCAGAGCGGAGAGCACACATGCGTCACTGCCATCGCGTCAGCTGCTTCTGCAACAATCTGCTCCACTTTCTCGTTTCTCATGATTTCTGATGTTGTCATTTGTTTTATCTGTGAGCTTTTAGAGGTCTATGAGAGAACCATAAATTATACAATATATTATCATTGAAGGCAATAAATCCCAAAATTGATAGCTCTATATTCTGTATGAATGATAATGGTAATGGTCCACTTTATTAAGTTAATGCCTACAATATTGAGACAATTTTTTTTAGCAGTATTTAAGACTGCTGGAAGCTTATACAACTACACACAAGTCACACGAGGGACAATAGCTTAAATGCGTAGTGTCTGTAATTTCACAACGTATCTGACGAATCTCACATAGATACTGTAGATAGAGACTTTATTGAGAAATTCAGGTGTCCAGTAGCAGCAAAATACTTTCAATATGTACTTTTTGTATGTGGGTGTGGGTGCCATAACACACATAATTTTGAAAATCAAATATACTTTAATTTAAGTTGTTTTTGCTGTTATATAGAATGTAAGACACTGGACATGTATGAGGAGGCACTAAAGTTAAACAAACACCTCATTTTCTCAGCTTTTTGTCTGAGACTGGTCATTTCGGTCAAACTTCCTGATGAAAGAAGACAGTCCAGTCTTTCAGATTCTGGTTTCACATTACTATTGTCATTGTTTTCCTAAGAGCAAAGTTGACTGCCGAACAACCTATCATCATATATCGCATTCAAAAAAGAAAAGTGTGGTGGCGGTGATCAAAGGAGCCAGAGGTGCAAATGGCGGCTCAGGTGTTCGGCAAATGTTTGGGATAACAACTTGATCTGGAACCTTCACTTTGGGTGTGGAGAATTCAGTTTAAACACATATATACATATAAGCATAATAAGTCTTATCCCCAATTGTTTTTGACCAAAATAATTTGTGTGTGTGTAGGTAACAATAGTGGACACTGGAGTGCGGGGGACCATTGCTGTGGGTCTGGTGCCTAAGTTCTATCGCGTGGATCATCAGCCCGGTTGGCTGCCTCACTCTGTGGCATATCACGCTGACAATGGAAAGTCAGTACAATCACCACACGTTTAAAAGATTTATCCTGACCGTTTAAGAAAATTATTAAATGTTCTAAATAGAAAAGTGATGAATAATTTCGTCAAGTCATCCTGTTGGCTAGTATCTAATAGCTGGAACCTTAAAGCGACCTAACTAAAATATTAAAGCGACCTAACTTTTAAACCATGTATCTATGTCACTAGTTTGGCGCGTTTGGCTCCATCACTAGTTTTACTTGCATGTATTTTTTCCCTCTGCCACATCTTTAGATCAGCCTATCTGTCCAAAGCGTCAAATAGTGGTGTATTCGTGGAGCCTGTCTGGTGCTCCCGTGGTGCTAGCCTGGTTCCACTTTACTGCCCTTTGTAACATAATATACTGTCACCTTACTGCACTGCTCATTGCATATTGTGTGCACCAAGTGCACTTGTTTTTGTATATTGTATGTAGTATATATCTTAAAAATGTATGCTTATTTTTACTATGCCTTAAGCCTAGTGTATACTCGCGCGGCACGGAGCTTACAGAGGTGACGTGACGTCACTTGCGCAACACGAAATTTTCTAACTACATAAGGGTTGCCGCAAGGAAGCTCCGATGTGATTGGTCCGTGTGTGTATTGGAAGGAAGCATGGCGCGGCTGCAGGAGCATGGACGAGGCACTATGGAGCAGACTGCTTCGCGCTTCGAAGGAACTGAAGGAAAAGTAGTTTGGGCTCATGGCAGAGCCTGATATACGCGGAGACTGTGGACTAGAGTTCTGTTGCATATCTAACATACAGTATATATAACTTATCAATTTGTTTGTTTTGCACTGTTCCTGTCTGTGTCTGAATCTGCACTCGTAGCTTATCGCGTCTGTTCCATTCCTCCTGCCCTCATAAATTGTTCATGTTTGCCTCAGATATTTACCACTTATTGTTTTGCTGTTTGTGCTTAATATAATTGAATAATAACTATGTTTCAAACAAGAACTGTGTCTTTATTCACAACATCCCAGTTAAATGAGTTAAGAAATGATGAGTCCATAGAACTATCACATAAACCTGCACATGTAATGAGCTCAAACAGCTAGGTTTGTTCATGTTTTTGTTCTGAAGAGGAGAAAGTAGCAGCGTAAATGAGACCGCTTTGGTATCTCAAGCAACTCCTGTGAGATCACCATCATGTGGTTGGTTGTGGGATTACAACATTATCCTCAAAACTCCGCAAGGAGTATAAATTAAATTGTGCTTGCGTAGGTCCACCGCAACCGCTAACGTAAGCCGCGCCGCGCAAGTATACACTGGGCTTCACTCTATTCTCTACCTCTCTACTTTTGACTGTTTGCTCCGAGAGCCAAAGCATTTCCTAGTCTGTGACTTCCTGTTACTTACATGGCAATAAAACTGATTCAGATTTTGATTCTGATCTCATGGGTTTGTGGTTGCAGGTTGTATAATGGGAATCCTGTGGGACAACAGTTCGGTCCTAAATGTTCACATGGAGATCGAATCGGATGTGGGATTAACTTTGACAACATTAAAAACGGCATTGGAACTGTTTTTTTCACCAAGAATGGCAAAGAGGTGAGCATTTCTGTGCTAGGCGATAAGGGAAGCCTCATTATAACTATAGCATTGGGGTGGAGGGCAGCTGTTAAAGATTTCCTTGTAACTATGCTAAGTGTAATAAATCAGACTTCTCATCTTACGTTGTGTTCACATTTCAGTCCTAAGTGAACAAGAGTTCACCACGGTTAGTAAGTTCGCCAGGGTTTAGAATGGAAAAAAAACAATGAAAAGGGAAACAATGCTTAAAGGGCCCATATTACGCTTTTTGACTTTTCTCTATTTTAAACATGCCCAGAGTAGTTTTTTCATTGATTCCATCAAGCTTTAGTTAGAGAGCGATCTTTCTCTTTCATTCTCGAGAGGCACAGAAACGAGCTGATTCAAATTGAAACGTGGCACAATCCGTGACGACAAAACTCTGATTGACAGCGGGGAGAAACTGAACCAGCGGATCAGCGGCGTCTATACAGCCCATGCAGCCTCTCTCCGAGTCCAGTGTGTGGTCCATAGACAGTAAATAAGCCTCTGTGCTTTTGTTGTTGGTGTAAATATATGACAAGAGTATTTGGCCGAAGACAAAGAATGGGGATCGACTTTGTTCACGGGGATATCTGCCTCGTATTTGTGAGTCTGAAATCAGATCTTTTTATGCGAGTGACAGTGACACCACCAAAGACTGTTCCAGAACTACAATTACCTTGAAACGGGACCTACTCAAAAGTTGAGCTGGAAACATGGTGTTATTCCCAACATGAATGACGCTAACAGGAGCCTCGGTCTGTGAGTAATATGCTGCTTCCTCGTCGTGTGTCACTGTCTGTGTACTAAATAATTAGGGTCTGATTCTGGATTGAGGACATAGGTGTCCATGTGACGGTTGCCATTGGTGGAAAAAGTTTATTGTCAGGTGTGAAAAACAGCGAAAGCTGTACAGTTAGCTCTTGTTTACCTCTGAACTTGGCGTGATGCTACGTTACCGTGCGGGTGGGAGGCGGGCTCACAGGCAGAGGTGCACTGATCCAAGCGTTTCACATGAGCTGAGATCAGCTCTCTATACAAAATTGATATAATTCAACACCCAAACAAATGTTCACTCTTCCAATCGTCATTTAAGTCATTATGGATCATAGATTTTTGCCCTAATTGGGTCACTTATAGTCAACTCTGGTTCACTAGGGGCTAAAATTTGAACACACTTCTTTAGTTTAGGGCTAATTTCTCTAATTTCTGGGCCAATCCACATGAAACAACAAAATCAGTCACAACGCTCCACACCTTTTGCCAAATTATTTTTTCATTATTTACTCCACCCTCAGATGGGCTCTGTGAAGGTGGGGTTGTCTGCGGATGGACTGTTCCCTGCTGTAGGAATGCACTCTCTAGGGGAAGAGGTAACAGTGCACCTGGGAGCAGAGTGGAGTCTGGAGGACAGCGCCATGATGGTGGACAGTCAGGAGGATGAGTGGGGGCGGCTGTACGACGTCACAGCCAGCGGCACGGTGAGCACAGCAGGACTTTATTTTCAGTACTTGCCTATACACATGCCATTTTTATACACAGGTCGTAATGATTTTTTTGTTTCTAAGTACTACTGTTGCCTACTGTTTATTGACAATATTATGTTTATTATGTGAAAACGGTGTTCCTCATAAATAGTAGTGTTTCCAGTGTATGGATAAAAAAAGGAAGAATTATTGTAAGCAATTTAAAATTTTTACATTTTGCTGTCAACGAATTGTTAATTGAGGCCTTATAATAATCATATTTTAAAAACTAAAATATTATTAATGAACAAAATAAAATAAGTAGCCAAAAAAGCCTAAAACCAAATACAAATCAATCCCTCAAAACCGTTTGGTTCTATTACTAGTTTTCCCATGCACGTATTTTTGGCCTCTGTTACATCTTTAGATCAGCCTTTTTAGACAGAAAATTGAAAAAAGCGTTAGTGACTCAGAAGGCTTTCTCTATCAAGTATGTGAAAGATAACATGATTTCTAATCAGATAAAGTTCTCAAAGCCTGAATTCCCATCATATTGAATAGATATAGACATGTGCTTGTTGAACATGCTCTCTCCAGTCTTTGCTGACATTTTTAACACCTCGCTGGAGTCCTGCCACGTTCTGGCCTGTTTCAAGACCTCTACCATCGTCCCTGCCCCCAAAAACCTCCAGCCATGACTGTGAGGCTCATCAAGTTTGCGGACGACACCACCCTCATTGGACTCATCTCCAACAACGATGAGTCCGCCTACAGGACCGGCTGTGTCCTGGTGCAGTGGTAACGACCTGGAGCTGAACGCCCAGAAGACGGAAGAGATTTTTGTAGACTTCAGGAAGACCTCAGCCTTCTCTGATGGTTTCCCCCTTCACCTCTGTGGAGTCCTTTTGTTTCCTGGGAACCACCATCACCCAGGACCTCAAGTGGGAGCCGACCCTCAGCTCCCTCATGAAAAAGGCAACTTGGGGCAGCTTAGGAAAGCCAAGCTGCCTGCACAGATGTTGGTGCAGTTCTGCACGGCCATCATCGAGTCCATCCTCACCTCCTCCACCACTGTGTGTTTTGCTGGAGCCACTGTCAGGTACAAGCAGAGACTACAGCGCATCGTGCACTCTGCAGAGAAGGTGATCGGCTGTAGCCTCCCATTGCTGAAAGACATCTTCGACACCCAAGCTCGAGACTGGGCTGGTCGTATCACAGCCAACCCCTCTCACCTGGACTATTCCAACCTCTCCCCTCAGGCAGGAGGCTACGGTCCCTTCGGACCAAAACCTCTCGCCATAAGAACAGTTTCTTCCCCTGTGCTGTTGGCCTCGTGAACACTTCATAACCTGCCCCCCCGCCCTCTATAAAGTAACTTTACTGCCCTTTATAAAGTCACTTTAGTGCCCTTTATAAACCCACTTACTGCTCTTCATAAAGTCTTTACTGCCCATCATAACGTCACCTTATTTCTGTCACCTTATTGCACTGCTTTCTGCATATTGTGTGCACCAAGTGCACTTTTACATTGTATATAGTAAATTATAATAATTTTCATATATATTTTTTATATTTTATTTAAATTTTTCAAATAAAAACAAACATATGAGAAAAGGTTGTTCATACAGGAACACAATTAGTTAATTTTTACATTTTCAAAATGAGGTAAAAATGGGTTCCAAGAGCGAAGAAATATGTCCATGTGAGTAGTGCGGAGTTTTTCCATTTGTATGATGGATAACATATCGGCGACCCATAACTGAAAGCAAGGGGGAGTGGGAGAATTCCACGCTTTCAGTATCAGTTTCTTGGCTGCTGCATTAAAGTTGGCATTGTCCTTGTTGTTTGTGAGCAGCCAAAAATAACAAGTCCAGGCTCAGGCTGGAGGGGCCTTTTATATGCTTTGGAGTACCATTCAAATAGTTTAGACCAAAAGTTTGTCAATGAAGGGCAGGCCCAAAAAGCATGGGACAGGGTACTCTCTGAGACATTACATGTACATCTGTCAGACACAGGGGAAACTGATAGATATATTCTGTGTAATCTGATTTTGGAATAATGTAGGCGATGGACAATCTTAAATTGGATTAATTGATGTCTGCTGTTTATAGAGCAGGAGTGAATATTAGACAAACAGGAGTCCCACATGGACCCACCCAGCTCTTCTCTCCAAGTATCCCTTGTTATCACAGTGTGTGCAGTAATACAGTCATCAAATAGATGTACAATTCTTGAGATAAGCCGTTTGGAGAAAGGAGGGCTTGTACAAATATCATAAACTTCATGTTCCAAGGGTAGAGTTTGAAAATGTTCTATTTTTGTTTGGGTGTAATGCCTAACCTGCAAATACCGAAAGAAATGGGAGTTTTACAGATTATACTTTGCTTTCAGTTGATTGAATGATGCAAATTTGCCATCAATGTACAGATTATTAATTGAGACCAAGCCCTTCCTCCTCCAGTCATGGTATGAAATGTCATGCCAGGGAGGCAGAAAACAATGGTTAAAACAAATGGGTGTTTGCACCTATGTGTTTGGAAGCTTTAGAAAACTCCTGACCTGGTTTAAAATTCTTACTGACTGTTTTACCACAAAGCATAATTTTTTGTAGGACTCTGGCTTTTCAAATTTGGAAAATAACATAGCTGGCAATGAAGATTTATTCACAGAGTTGGCCTCCATTTTGAGCCACAAAGGGGTTGTAGGTGTCTGATTATCCAGGGATCCTTGGTGCCAGAACATCAACGCCCTGACATTGGCAGCCAAGTAATAGTGTCTAAATACAGGCAGGCCCAGCCCTCCCTCTAACCTGGACTTCTGTAAGTGTGCTTTTGAAATTCTAGCATTTTTACCATTCCAAACATAGGACAGAATAATTGAGTCCAAGTCTTTAAAAAAAAGCAGCAGTGAGGTAAATGGGTATATTTGGAAAGTGAGATCATTCTAATTGAGTTGATGCGTCCAATCATTGATAAGGGAAATTTTTTCCAACTTTCAATGTTTTGTTTTCATTTCAAAAGAAATTCTGTGAAATTCAATTTAAATATTTGTTTTGGATCCCTGGGTATGGTCAAACCTAGGTAGGTGAAATGGTCATTTACTATTTTGAAAGGGACATTTTGTAAAAAACCTGGTGAATAAGTATTGGAAAGAGGCACAAACTCACTCTTTGACCAGTTGATTGTGTATCCCGATATACTACCAAAAGACTCGATCAATTCAAAAAGAGGTGGAACTGATTTTTCCACATTGCGTAAATACAATATAACGTCATCAGCATATAAACTGATGAGTATTTTCACATCTCCAACCTGAAGTCCCTCCACCTGCGGGTGCTCTCTTATTTTTACAGCAAGAGGCTCCAATGCAATAGCAAAGAGCACTGGAGACAATGGACAGCCTTGTTGAATGACGCGCTGGTGGGACTTGGAACCCTGACTCCCTGGACCTGAAGACTGGTCCACAGCCGTTGGGAGTTGGCGGTTCTGTGACGCCCCTTGAGAAAACTGTTGTTGTGATTTCGGGCGATACAAATAAAATTGATTTGATTTGAACCGAGCACTGCAAAAAAAATGGGGCTGACCAATCACCATTCGTCAGAACAGAACAGCATGGCGTTTTATACATCAGTTTAACCCAAGAAATAAAAGTTTCCCCAAATCCAAACTTGCGCAGTGATTCAAACATATGAGGCCACTCAACTTGATCAAAAGCTTTGTGTGCATCCAGGGACAAAATTGAAGCTCCATTAGTATCACTAAAATCAGAGTAAATAGTGTTCAGTAGCCGCCTAACATTAAAAAAAGAGAGTCTGTTGGGAATAAATCCTGTCTCATCAGGATGGATGATAGAAGCCAAATATTTGTTCAATCTAGTTGTTCAAGATTTTAGTTATTACTTTGCGATCAAAGTTTTGAAGCGCAATTAGTCTAAAGCTTGCAGGATCGGTTTCATCTCTACCCTTTTTTAAAATTACAGTAATGTTTGCTTCAGAGTTTTTGGCAGTTTTCCATTATTCTTAGAATCATGCATCATCCTGAGCATAAGTGGTGGAAGGATGTCACAAAACCTCTTATAGAATTCTGCGCCCATCGGGCCCAGCAGCCTTACTCGATGGAAATGACTTTATGGCATTAATGACTTCTTGCAGAGTAAACTCTGAATCGAGATATTTTGTGGCAGCATCACTCAATTTAGGCAAGGATATAGTGTCAAAAAAATCATTTAGATCGGCTTGTGAAATATTATTTTTTAAAGAGTAAAGCTCAGCATAGAATTCACTGAAACGATGGTTTATCTCAATAGGATTGGTTAAAATAGTGCCTGTTTTAGACTTACAGTAATACCACGAATTGCTCTTCTTAACTTGGCTGCTCACGATACCATTGTATTCGTATTTAATATCTCTTTGTAATGATCCGGTGATTTAGAATTTTGGTAAATTCTTTCCAAAGTAGAAAGTGTGTTGTTAATTTCACAAAGTCTCATTTCGCTTTTTTTTTTAATGGCTGAGGTGTAAGAGATTATATCACCACGCAAAACTAGTTTTAATGTTTCCCACAGGGTTGAATCAGACACTTCACCATTATCATTTAGTTCTATGAAGTTCTTAAATTTAGAAGTTATGTTCTTAATAGGGATGTAAATCGGTGACCGTTTAACCGGTGGTTGACCGTCACAGCGTTAACCGGTCAAAGCTGTCGGTTAAAAAAGAGAAAAGGGGGAGAGGGGAGGTCTCTTCATAACGCTATTTTAAGCCCTATTTGCACGATGTGACGAGCGGGTCCCTATCTAGCTGTGTGCGCCAATGTATCAGTAAATTCTGGGCCGACTCTCACGCCGTACGCGCCACATATGCACGCACGCACACACACGCGCACACACACATATTTTTCCCCCCTCGTAACACGTAACATCCACACGCATCATCTCTCCCCTCTGTTACCGCCTGCTAGTTGCACACTGGTGCGGGTCAGAACTACATTGGAGCTTATATTTACACACACATACATACATGTATTGTACACACACACATACCGGTCTGTCGCGCTCCTCTGTGTCACGGAGCCCAAAGCATTCTTGCAAATACACGGCTCCAGTCAAACCACATGGAACATGTTTTTACTGCTGGTTCTTGCAATCAGCTCCACACTGATCACTTTTAAACTTTAGCGGAGACCTGCGAGACGCGGCTCGTCACTCGCTGCCCTGACCATGTGGACGAGCTGTCTTTTGCTTAAAAATGCTTTAAGCCGCAGCACAGAAGAATGGGAAGATTAAAACAGCAGTTCTCTGTGTGCAAAGGTGCCGAAGCTGTTGCGGGTTTTGGTGCCGCTGTCTCGGCTCTGATCCAGTAGAACGCAGAGCTGCACTTATGAAAAGCATGCGGCTCGAAATGGCTGTTATTTCAAAGAACGTGGACTATTTTAAACTACGCGGTTAACCGGTTTCAACCGGTTAATGAGGCTCGGTGGTCGGTCATGAAAATTCATAGTTTTTTACATCCCTAGTTCTTAATAAAGTTGTCATCACTGAGAAGGTTAAAATGCCAAGAGTAAGTCTGTTTTGGAAGGGAAATATTTAACGACATTGCTAAGGGGCTGTGGTTAGAAATCAAAATATTATGATATTTGGAATTTGTGATCTGAGAAATAAGGGAAGAGCTAGTCAAAAAATAATCAATCCTACTGTAGGATTTGTGGACATTTGAGTAGAATGAATACTCTTTGCTTGTAGGATGCCAAATCCTCCAAATATCAACAACATTTCTAGTTCTTAAAAGGTTGTTTAGAAGTTTTACAG